GGAGTAGGTTTTGCGCACCCACCGACACAGTCCGCCGCGAACTTGGCGTCAACCAGCGGAGAAGGTTTCGCGCACCCACCGACTCAGACAGCCGCGAACATGGCGATTCCCAGCATGCAGCCACGAACAGCTACAGCCGTGAACAGCAACGCTCTTGGCATTCCGATCGCTCAGAACTCCGAACGCGTTCAGGGCAGCAGTGTCAGATTCGCCGAACCCGCGAACCTTGGCATGCCTGGGCCTGCAGCCCCACGGACCGCAGAGCCATCTCACCCACGACGACCCCAGATTGATCCGCGAACGTCCGTTACAGAAGCCAACCGCGAAGAACAGGAGCGCGTGACGGAGCCACAGGGCACAAACGCAGATGTGGAGGATGACGATGATGACGAAGTGAGAGAAGAACTAGGCAAGAATGATTGAAAGGAGAGGAGGTTTCACTAGCAGCAGTTGGGGTACATATAGCAAACCCTAACTGGGTTGTACTCGCTATAGAGCACCCCACTACAGGCTAGACAATAATAACATTCTGACACACCCCCATAGCCAAAGTGGGGTGTAATCAGTACAATGAGCAGGCATAGCAATAGTTCACAATTATAAGCAAAGCTAGAGGTGATCATAGAGGGCAAGTGAGGAGGAGGAGAAACTGTGAGGGCGAGAAGATGAAAGGCGCCGACTGAAGCTGCAGACACACGGGCAACAGGAGCGGCGCGCACAGTGGCTACCGAGCGCACGAGGGCACCGGACTACGGGAGTATCTGGCTCCGCGGCTACGACGAGCACACACAGGAGCAACGGACCCACAGGCAACTGGCGAAGCAGGCTCGCTGGGCTACCGAAACGCGCGAGGGCATCCGGACTACTGGCGCTGCTGGCGTCACGACGGCTACCTCCACGCAACCTCCCCCGACCGTCTCACGCCCCTCGACACACACCCCCTGCTGCGCCCCTAGCTCCACTCCCCCTTCACCCCCCTAGGACCACTCCTTCGGCTCCCCACACAACCACCCCCCTGAGCGGCAGCTGCAGCAGCGGGAGACGGAGGAGGAGGAGAAGGAGGGGACGGGGCACACAACCGGCACCCCCACACCCGCCACCCCCACACTCTACATCCCCAAACCCTAAAACGGGTGGGATAGGGGCAGGAGCGCGGGGGACGGCGAGAGGGGGACGGACGAGGCGCGCGCAGGCTGCCCGGGCCGCGCGCGGGCCTGGCGCAGCCCGTACGGGCCGCGCGCGGGTCCCAGGGGCGCTTCGACGGGCGACGGGGGCGTTTTGGCGGGCGACGGGGGGCGCTCCGACGGGCGACGGGGGCGCTTCGACGGGCGACGGGGGGAGGGCGCTTCGACGGGCGACGGGGGGCACTTCGACGGTGGGAAACCGCCGCGCGCCTCGGGGCGCACGGCGTGCAGAAAACCGCCGCGCGCCCCGAGCGCACGGCGGGATGAAAACCGCCGAAACCCTAGAAAAAATTCGCCGGCAGGAAGAAGTCGTCGCGCGCCCGAGGCGCCCGGCAGGAAGTAAAGCAGCGGAAGCATTAGGTGGTGGGCCCACCCACAGGATCGACCCAGGAGGGTCGACCTGCTCTGATAGCATGTGAGAAGAACTAGGCAAGAATGATTGAAAGGAGAGGAGGTTTCACTAGCAGCAGTTGGGGTACATATAGCAAACCCTAACTGGGTTGTACTCGCTATAGAGCACCCCACTACAGGCTAGACAATAATAACATTCTGACACGAAGATGACGCGATGCCTGATCTGAATCTGAGACCGCCAGGAGAGCGAACGGGGGACGGTGCTGCAGGAGGTGGCGGTGGCACACCAGAGAATGAAATTCGTCCTCACACTATCGAGATAGGGCCCCAAGAAGCAGCGGAACTGAACGAAATGTTGACGGGAGTGGAGAGGGTGGAGAGTCTCATTACCGACAAGGCGATAGCCGACTGGATGAAGCTTCCCGCGAGCACTGGCGTTAGCTCGAAGTTGCATTTCGTCCGCAACATCTTGCAAGTGTTGAGCCCCAAAACGCGGAAAAAATACGTCGCCGCGATAAGGGAGTTCAAACGCTGGTTTGCTCACGAGGTTCCACATCTCCTACGGGTCGACTTTCCTGAAGACGCGAAAATGAAACATAAAGATGAGGTAGGCTATTTGCTTGGGATGGATCTGGGTGAAGCGTGGGAGTCAGCACCCGATGAGGACTGTCTGTTCCATGGGCCGCGAATTACACGCTGGCGGCTGAAAATGTTCATCACGTATTGCTCGACGGAGTCACCTAAACAGGTGCGAATGCTTGCAAGGCTAAACCCCAAGACTCCGATTCGTAAAAGAGTTGCATGCAGCGTGTCAATGGTCAAAGCCCGGTTCACCGCGCTGAAGACCCAATGTTGGGCAGAGACGGTGTTGCTGGAGGGAGAGGACCTCACGACAAATGTGGACGAGGTTGCAGTCGTGGTGTCCCTCATGATGCGCCAGCAATACAAGAAGTTCAAGGAGTAAGTTCCGTGCCATTCGCGTTAAACTCTGAAAGCGACCGTGAATTCTTGGTTCTGATAAAGAATGTGTTCGCAATCCTTTCATATGCAGGATGTACCTGGATCGCCACAAGGGCACGACCGCGGACGTTTACACGCTGGCGGAGTTCAAGAAGATGATGCGATTTTGCTGGCCCGGGGATGCGATAGAACAATTCAATCCCAGACACCCACAGCCATCAAGTGTTCTAAACAGAGCCCTATTCGCGAACGTGATGCTCCTAGTCAGCCATCACACGCTGTGTCGCGCAGGCACGGTCCGTGAAATTCAACTTCCGGACCTTCAGTTCAGCAAGTTCGGCGGTGAGGATGAGACGGACCCAGTGAATGACGCGGATATAGTTACGATCGTGACGCGAAACGGCAAAACTCTCCAGAATTTCGGGATCCACAACTACAGTGCAGCGCGAAACATCGACTACATGATATGCCCTGTCGGTCATATTTTCCGCTTACTTCACTGGGTATATGATCAGGTGCCTCGGTTCTACGAGGACGGCGAACATTTCGTACCACCTCTCGACTGTACGGACCCCAAGAAATGGTACGACCTGTATCTCTTCTTCAATAACCACGAAGGGAAGCAGAACCGGGAGCCCGTTCCGCACCCAACGTATCACGACTGGGTTAAGCACGGGTTCAATATGGCAGATATCGAGATACACCGCGTCACCCACGCTGCACGAGCATCCAACGCCCATATTCTCTCAATGATGGGTGTTTCGGACAAGGAGATCGAAAGGCAGGGCAACTGGACATCAGATGCTCTGACGAAGCATTATCTCCCAAACGTGGCGCGAGATGCTGTTCTCAGATCTGCTGGATACACGGGTCTGGTGGGTGACTATCACATCGGCCGCTCAAAGGTTCCACCGAGCCGTTAACTCCGGGAACTGTTCCGGCGCGAAATCTTCCCTTTTGTGGAAGAACATCTGGAGTTGGTGCGTACCGTGGTGCCACTTCCTTTACTTGTTTCGTGCTCGTTAATCACGTTTTATTGAGACTCGAACACACTTTTTGCAGGTGAGACGTCGCAACGCTTCTGGGCCTTCATCGAAACAAGACATCACTGCTGTTCAGTTCCTGAAAGCCCTCCGAGACTTTGGAAGGAGGATTGTGGCCGAGGACCTGGCCATGATGCTCGTGAACAACCCAGCGCACCCATACGTGAGGGCCTCGAACTTGTGCAAGGATCCGATTTTTCAGGCCTGGGCGCGTGAGGTCGCGTGGAGTGACGAGGCTGGAATTGCGCTGCGGAATTCGCCAACCATGTGTACACAAGCGGTGAGAGTACTAAATTTTCGCGCATTAGAAAAACAATTTCAATCCTTCGCGCACTAGTACTTACGAATGTCCTCTTCCTCACAGGAGGTGTCCCGACGATTGCACTCGGAACATCGCTGCGTTCAAGTGACAACGGAGCTGAATATGGTGAAGGATTCACACCGCGCCAAAATCGTGGAGCTGGAATCCGAAAGGCGGACAACGGCAGAGCTGCGGAAGGAACTGGAAGCAGCGCGACAACAAATCGCGGCACTGTCCGTCAATGCTTCTTCCTCGCGCGTCCAAGAGACGCCGCAAACCGCGCCTGACCCGCCACCCCGACCCCCACTCGACGCCGCGGGGAAGGATTTCAAGAAAGAGCGGTTTCGACCTTGGATCAAGGCGGGCACCGTCCAGGAAGCGTGGCGGATATGGTGCTGGCCTTTGGGGGAACCGGGACTGACACTTCGGGATGAGGTCGGGAAAGGTGGCTTCACGGGGAAGTACGAGCTCGTAAAGTCAGAAGACTCGGCGATGACGCGGCAAAAAAGATTGATGGCTGCTGTGACGGAATACGCGAATTCACGTGGTGGCGCGACTGAAGAAGTGATTCCAAATCTGGAAGACATTGGCTCGCGTCTCGGATTCGGGGTACTTCGTGACGGGCTGACGTGCAAGACGTGAAAGCCCTGCAACGAAAAGGCCGACTCGCTGCGAAAAAACAAACCGGCCATGGAGAAAGTGAAAGTCGCGGTGGAACTTGTCGCGCGTGGCTTTGAGGACGAGGAATGGGGCAAGACGATGTTTCCGGAATGCTGGAGTGTGTTTTTCAAGGACGCGAACGAAAATACCACGAATGACGCGACCGAGACTACCCCGAACGATTCTAACAAAAGGCCGCGCGAATCTTGAAAGCGCGTATCCTGATTTTGCTTTTTGAGTCTGTTCGTGTATGATAAACTGCCGAGTGTTCCCAGAGATTCGCAACTGTTAGACTCTTCCGTGAAGTTCTGTTTCGAGTTAATCTGATCTTTTAGCCCTCAACAATCAAGATTCAGTTCGGGACTCTAGACATTACGGGAAAAAACCCTGGTTCACACCAAAACAACTGTAGCACAATCCGATTTAAGAACGAAAACGAAGGAGCGAATTCACGGTTTCTAAAATCTCAAACAGCATTGCGCGAAAACCATGCCGCGATCACGAATCCTCCGGATCCTCGTCGTCAAGATCAACAATCGGCTGGGAGCCACCTTCTTCTTCGTCCGATTTCGTGGCAGTCTTTTTTACACGCGACCGGCTAACGTCACGATTCTTGGCCTTCGCGCGATCGTCATCGCACTCGATATACAAGCCCAGCGCCCGCATCTTCTTAGCGGCATCTGGGTCGAAGCTCCAGGTTCTCAGCACGTCCACCTGCTCGTGAATGATGCTCTTCTCATCTTTCGTGATAGCGACTTTCTTCGCGTTCTCGAAATATTTCGCGACCTTGAGCTCGATCTTAGCCGCATCATGTCCCTTCGTCGCTGCCGTAACGATATGCTTCCAAACCGCGAGGTAAAGAACCACGGTCAGATTGTTCGCTCCTGCAAGCAGCGCGGCCTGTTTCGCGCTCGCTTCCGCGGTCTTTCGATCAAATCCCTTACACTCCATCCAGGAAACCGCGCAAACAAACGCCACACCCCCAGCTCCAGCGGGCACAGATTTCTTGCCCTTCGCGGGTGACTCGTCCGCCAGGGTCTCAAGTCCAACCGCAGCAGAGAAGGCGACCTTGTCGCTCGCTTCCGTGTTTTCGTCCTTCAAAGTCCTGTATCGTGAGATCACAGCTCAAAACCTGCAAGCGTTACAGCGATACATTAATGTGGCGTGTTGTATAAAGAAATCGCGCGAACAGCGGAAACCAGACGTTACTGACCTTTCGGGGCTTGCGCAGGCACCTCGCAGATAAAGCACTGCGAAAACTCCAGGGTGCAAAACTCGCGCCACATCAAGATCGGGGGTCCACTCCTCTTCTTCCTCGTCCGTCAAAACCAGTTTGTCCTCGGGAATCTGCTGATTCCACACCATCTGTGCCACCGCGCACAGAAACCGCACGGCAGGGAGCTTAGCGTGGGAACCAAAGTACCAGCGACACGAGTGGTGAAGCTCCAAGGTGAACAAGCCACGCGAGTTTTTCCGTATACCAACACCCCATTTCGGATCCTCCTTCTCCTTTCCTTTCGCGCTTCCCTTCGCGTCCGCCTTCTCTGTGTGCTGAACCATGGACAACCACTGTTGCATGGCCTCCATTGCCTCCGCATTTGCGTCAGGGATTTCCTCTGCGCCCTGTAGCAAGGGCACAACAGCATGCTGGATCGCGGCACCTCCAGCTGGTGGTTGCCCTCCAGTTCCAGACGCGATCGCCGAGGTCCTCTTGACAGGCGCAGCCGCGATCTTGGACTTCTGAGCCAAACTCCCGCGGCCAGGTTCTCGGGCCTCCTGTTGCTCGGACGAGCCCTTCGCCTTCTTGGGGGGCGGCGAGGGTGAACGGGGTGTCGGTATCCCTGGTGGCCTCTTCCCTCCACGATCCTAGCTCCCAGTTGCTTCCGCAGGTTCCATGCGCAAGGGTCCGGTGACCATCCTCATGCTTCCACATCCACGGTCCGCGGCGGTCGCTACACCTGCCTCGAACGTCCCCATCCTTCCCCACGGGGCGATCTCGTAACGCGTTCGCGCCACCGCCTCCGAAATCGACTCCGCAATCAAAGCCCTCAGTCCCACCATCGTGTCCTCCAACCTACGGAACGTACCGTCCGCGGCCTCGCGCTGCACAATCGCAGACCCACGCTCAACCCTTAGCTCCTGGACCAAGCCCTCGACTGTCCGCGCCCATTTTTCCTCTGCCTCTTGAAACCGCGTTGCGATTTTGCCCGTTTTCGTAATGGCTGCGTCCAGATTGTCCTTCTGGACTTGAAGATCATTCAGAAGGCCGCGAATCCGATTGCGCTGAAGCTTGAGGGCGTGATCCGCGTCGTACTGAGCCTGAATCGAATCATCCAGAGCACCTTCCAGCCGGACAACCTCGTGCGCGAGCGTCAACACTGGCCAGGTCAGCAGCTCGGATAACGTGTGGCGCGGAACATTCGAATCCTCGTCTCCAGTATCTCGCGTTCCTGGGCCCACTCCCACGTTCGCGCCAGCAGCAGGCTGCGCTTCCGCATGAGGCGCGGAAGGTTCCTGGGCCGAGGAGGTCTTGGTTTTCGCGGTTTTTGCTGCGGCAGTCCGATCGTGAGTGTCAACCGCAGCCTTCTGGGTGGCAGCCGCAGCGGCAACATTGCGGCCTCGCTTCTCACCGTCCTTGCCGTCGCCATCCCCTTCACCCGCCCCCACGGTTTCTTGATCGCCCTCTGCTTCCTCAAATTCCTCGTCGTCGGACTCTTCCTGCCTGGCCTCGACCGCGTGTTGCCGGCCTGACACCTCTCCGGACCCTCCGGCCTGGTCGGAGATGCTCATTTTGATAGCGATGTCCTGCGCGTGCTTTAGAATTTGGCCGCGAGTGTCAGAGGTCCACTGGAGATCCCCGATGATCCTAGGGAAGGGTTACAGGCACGTCGGCCTGGGGGGTTATGGGCGCACTCACCCGCTATATAAACAAGCCCTTTTATCCCAGTGGTTAGTGGCTGGGATTCTGACATGGTATCAGAGCGAAGGTCTCGGGTTCGATTCCCGGTGTGTGCACTTCGGGCATCCCAGTGCGGGGGGGTGTCAGAGGTCCACTGGAGATCCCCGATGATCCTAAGGAAGGGTTACAGGCACGTCGGCCTGGGGGGTTATGGGCGCACTCACCCGCTATATAAACAAGCCCTTTTATCCCAGTGGTTAGTGGCTGGGATTCTGACAGCGAGTTGCTTTCAGATTCTTGTTCGCCACGGCACGGACCGGAGCGTCGGAATTCTTCGCCAGTGTTATGAATTCCGAAAGCAGGCGCTGGAACCCGTAGACGCTCTTCACGCCCGATCCACACCGCGAATCATCTATCGCGGTTAGGTCCTGCACGCGAATACAGAAGATAGGTCAGTTTCGCAGAGGGGCCCGGAAATGTACAATCAGTGAGTGCGGTTGATCTCCCACGAACCATGTGCATCCACTTCAAAGCCATCACCCGCGGATGCGCCAGTTTAAGGCTGGGCTCCTTGTCCTGTTTTGCATACGTCTCGAAAGAGGACTTGAACCACCTGCGACCAAAATCGCACGGCTACGTGTCAGAAGTCGGAATCAGCGCGAACCCTCCAAATGCGAAAAAAAAAACGTGTCGGTTTTCTTACGCGACAATCTCCTCCACCTTCATGGCGTGCCCGTCGGGTCCCACGTCCGGGTCAATATGGATGAGTCGAGTCGCGCAGCCCTCGCTGCCCTCGTTCTGCAAGTCGTTCGGCTTGAAAAACACGATAATGCTACACAGCGGCTCGTCGATATCCGACCTGCTCATGACCACGCGAAAAAAGCGTTAGGCACTGCAATAGACCCATTCCACATTGCTCGTAAAATTCGCGGCCAATCCGTACTTGGACCACAAGGGGAAAACGAGGAGGTCAGACTTGAGCATGGCGGGTATGGGGGCGTCGGATGCCAGCAACTTTGCCTGCTGCGCCGACGTAAAAATCTTTGTCGATTTGCGGCGATCACCTCCGTGTTTCTCCAACACGAAACTGAGAACAGAACAAAAAAAAACCAGCAGCTTAATTCCGTCAGAACAATACCGGCGCACGATTGAAGATGAAACACGAAGCGCACTCTTACATGCATGTGAAATCGAGGACTGCGGCGGTGAAGTCGGCGCTATCGTCCGCGAGAACGGACTTGTCTTCCGCGGCCAGCACAACGGTGGCTCCGCCCGCCTCCATGGCGACGTCAAACTTCTTAAGGCACCCGACGGGGTCGGACAACGCTCGCGCCTCACGAGCCATCCTGCCGAAATCGCGAACGGCACGATTCATCACGGCACGCGCGACCGACTGGTGAGCAACATTCGCATCACGAAAACCCAGTGACTGGGTTCAACGACGCGAAAAATGACGGGGTTCATCGACGCGAAAAATGCCGGGGTCTAACGACGCGAAAAATGAGGGGCTCAACGACGCGAAAAATGACGGGTTCAACGACGCGAAAAAAGAGCAGCGAAAAAAAGCCAAAACCGCGCCGATCACTGCGCACGATTTATACCATCCCGAATTACGCTTTAGCCCGGTCGAGGGAAACTAGATCACTGCCACTTCAGCGGCACAAAACCGGGAAGAAAAAAACAACACACCGCACTCAAAAACAAATCGCGGGCCCTACAATCCACCTAGCTATCCACACTGACCCCTTGCACACAAAATCCGCCCACCCTCCTACGCCTTTCCCCTAGCCCAAGCCCCCGCTGCTCACCTGGGTTGAAGTTCGAAAGCAGAAGCGAAGGTTGAGAATCGATTGCAAAAAATCACAATCGCTTGCACAAATGAGAAATGACGGCCTCGGGCCCCTTTTACCCCCTCCCCACTCGTGAACCCACGGCTGCAACATCTGCCGGTTCGGGATCACGCGAACCGGGACTTTCGCCACAGACGTGTCCCAAACCGCGGCTGTGACGCTCGTTGGGGTTTCGTCCTCGCCTCAGCGTCGCTCATTTGCCTGCTCGTTGATTTAGTGTACCGTGTGGCACGCGAAGTGTACAATCGCGATTGTGATGGAGTTGTTTTCGGGTTTAGTTGTTTTCGTTATTGTGATGCGCTAATGAAATAAGAAATGAAAAAACGCAACATCGAAATGAACGAAACGACATGCATGCGCTTTCAACAGCATCGTAACAACATCGTCGCGCAACATCGAAAAGAACGAACCGACATGCACGGGCTTTCAACAGCATCGTAACAACATCGTCATTCGCGAAGGTCGCAGACAGTCGGGATGTTTTCGAGGACATGGGTCGCCGGGGGGGTTACCGGTCCGGGCCCCTGCCGCATCAGCGTGGCTCGGCACGGCAGTTGGCCGAGTCAGGTGGTCCCCGAGCAGCTGCGTCACCAGGTCGGGTGTTGACTCAGCTGGGTGGTCCCCACGGGCAGCCGAGGCCCGGCGTCCCGGTCAGGTTCCGAAGGGCCGGGCCTCGGTTCCCTCGCCAGGAGGGTCGGGCGAGGTGGGCGGTTGACAGGGCAGTCCCAGGTTGGCCTCGCTCGCGTGCCCGGGGTGACGACGGCGAGGGCATCGGGCCCCCTCGCGGCCTTTCCCTTGCTGAGGAAGCCGTCGCCCTCGGCCCGAATAGAGCAGAGCAGTACCCTCGCCGGAGCAGTGTACTGTAGCGAAGTGAGGAGGAGACGGATATCCTAGGCAGGGCAAATCTTCTCACTGGAGCAGAAATTGAATCGAAGCTTCCTGCAAGCCGTCGCCACAGTATCGGATGTGGCCACAAACTTCCGGCCGTACTGCGTCGGATCGGGTGTGGTGTGGGACAACACAGATGACGTGATCTTCTGGCACCGACAAATGTTCCTTGTGGATCCATCTTGGTTGTCTCTCTGGCTGACACTGTTTCTTTCACAACACACTGTGGTTCCTTCCCGCCCGCCCGTCAATTCACATCACATCGTACACCTGATGCGCGTTATAGTCCCCCGGGTAGCCCTTGTGCTCTGGGCTTATATCCGATTTCAACTTTTCGCTGAGTTCGTGCATTTCGCAACTGCCTTGGGGGGTTCTTAAAAGGCACAGACGGTAACACCTTTGTTTTTTCCCGGTACAGTGGCGGGCGGCGTGTTTTGTTGCGAGCTAATGCACATGGTTACCCCCCCTACGTTTCAATGCAATGCATTGCAATTACAATCAAACGCCCTAATGGTCACAAACAAGAAACAACCAATAAAACAGCCACACCTGTTCCAACACCCCAACAAACCCACCACCCCATTCCCCCCCACCCGTACCCGTCCCGTTAATGCAATCACCGTTCACCACGGGTGTGCATGAGTCGTGCACATTTGTGCATATGCGGAAATGCGTTCCCCGCCGTTGTGGATTTCACAGCCTCATCCACTCAGCCGCCGCGACATAGCCGCCCATCACGGCGCCCCAGCGTCAATGAGCTCCTGCCGGCGAGCAGACTGGGCAATCCAGTCAGGGGTCGGCACCGTCATCCACGCCGGCAGAACGCGACTACGGCGACGTGGAGTCTCTGCTGGCGGGGTGTCCTCGTGCGTCATGACGGGCGCCGGAGCGGCGTTCAGGTTGAGCGCCGGGCTCGCGCGCTCCATCCGCGCGATGATCAGGGGGTTGCGGATGTCAAACAGCGCGCACAAATCCCTCGGCGTTATGCACGTCGCGCGGGCGTACCCGATCAGCATCTCGCACGCGGCGCGAGCCGTGCGACGTGCTTCGCGCGTCGCAGGGTTGTTGTCGTCGTACACCGCCTGCATCGACGCATGCGCCTCCCACACGTGCGCCGTGTCCGCCGATGCCGGCTCCAGCGCCAAGGGGTCCTCACCTGGCTCGGCGCACACCGGCTGGTTGTCATCTATGCCGACAAACTCCGCCGCGGCCATCGCCGACGGCCCGAGGCCGAGGCGGTCGATCAAAATACCGACGTCGTTCACATCCTCGTACAGGCCGATGTCGCCGCCAGCCGGGAGCTGTGGGTCAGCGGGGAGCTCCACGTCCTGCATCTCCATCGCCCACGCCCGCGGGAGGCATTCGGTGTGTCGAGAGAATTAGGCAAAAGAGAGAGTTGAACTAGCAAGAATGGGGATACAAATAGCAAACCCTAGAAGGGTTGTACTCGCTACAGAGCACCCCACTGCAGGCTAGACAAATATAACATTCTGACACACCCCCATAGCCAAAGTGGGGTGTAATCAGCAGAGCAAGGAAAGCAGTACAAGCTCAGGGTGGATCACGATGTCACCACACATTCTGAGCACAAGTTCAAGAAGCAACAGTTTATAAGTTATGAGCAAAGCTAGAGGCGGTCACAGAGGACAAATGAGGAGGAGGAGGGCTGGCGAGAGGAGAAAGGAGTGGAGGCGACGACTGAAGCTGCAGACACACGGGCATCAGACGGCTCTGGCGCAACGCTAGTGGCTACCGGAAGCAGAGCCCCGGACTACAGGGGTAATAGTCGCTGCGGAGGGTGCAGCGGACCCACGGGCGACAGGTGCAGCCGGCTCTCTGAGCTACCGGAGGTCCGCGGAACCCCGGAATACAGGTGCTGCGGACGACACGACGGCAGTCTCCGCTCAACCTCCCCCAACAGTCCCACACCCCTCGACACACACCCCTTGCTTCACCCCTAGCTCCACTCCCACGGTACCCCCCCTTAAACCCCAAACCCTAGACTCCCACACACCACCCCCCTCAGCGGCAGCTGCAGTAGAGGGAGACTAGGGAGGAGGAGGAGTAGGTAGAGTAACGCACAACCGACACCCCCACAGCCGCCACCCCCACACTCCCCACCCCCAAACCCTAAAACGGGCGAAAGGGAGAAGGAGCGCGGGGGACGGCGAGGGGGAAGGCGCGCGACCCCCAGGGCGCCACCTCTGGGCAGCGGGGGCCGCGCGCGGCTCCCCAGGGCGCCTCGACGGGGCAGCGGGGGGCCGCGCGCGGCTCCCTAAGGCGTCGCGACGAGGCAGCGGGGGCCGCGCGCAGCTCCCCACGGCGTCGCGACGAGGTAGCGGGGGGCCGCGCGCGGCTCCCCAAGGTGTCGCGACGAGACGTCGGGGGCGACGCGCGGGGCTGCGGGGCGACGCGGGGGGTCGACGGCGACGGGGGGAGGGCGCTTCGACGGTGGGAAACCGCCGCGCGCCCCGAGCGCACGGCGGGATGAAAACCGCCGAAACCCTAGAAAAAATTCGCCGCGCGCTCCGCGCGCGGCAGGAAGAAGTCGTCGCGCGACCAGTAGAACAGCAGCGGAAGCATTTGGTGGTGGGCCCACCCACAGGATCGACCCAACAGGATCGTCCTGCTCTGATACCATGTCGAGAGAATTAGGCAAAAGAGAGAGTTGAACTAGCAAGAATGGGGATACAAATAGCAAACCCTAGAAGGGTTGTACTCGCTACAGAGCACCCCACTGCAGGCTAGACAAATATAACATTCTGACACGGTGCTCCACCAGCAGCGCTGGATAGTGCTACGCGGAATGTTCATCCACGCGTCATGCAACCACTCCAGCACACGACGGAGGTTCGGCTTGTACCTCGCCGCCGCCGCGGTCGCGCCATCTGCGGTCCACATGCCGGAGAAGGCGCGGAGCCAGTGCTGGCGGTACCGCGCCTTCGCCATGGCGATCATCCCTTGGTCGAGGAGGGCTGGCGAGAGGAGAAAGGAGTGGAGGCGACGACTGAAGCTGCAGACACACGGGCATCAGACGGCTCTGGCGCAACGCTAGTGGCTACCGGAAGCAGAGCCCCGGACTACAGGGGTAATAGTCGCTGCGGAGGGTGCAGCGGACCCACGGGCGACAGGTGCAGCCGGCTCTCTGAGCTACCGGAGGTCCGCGGAACCCCGGAATACAGGTGCTGCGGACGACACGACGGCAGTCTCCGCTCAACCTCCCCCAACAGTCCCACACCCCTCGACACACACCCCTTGCTTCACCCCTAGCTCCACTCCCACGGTACCCCCCCTTAAACCCCAAACCCTAGACTCCCACACACCACCCCCCTCAGCGGCAGCTGCAGTAGAGGGAGACTAGGGAGGAGGAGGAGTAGGTAGAGTAACGCACAACCGACACCCCCACAGCCGCCACCCCCACACTCCCCACCCCCAAACCCTAAAACGGGCGAAAGGGAGAAGGAGCGCGGGGGACGGCGAGGGGGAAGGCGCGCGACCCCCAGGGCGCCACCTCTGGGCAGCGGGGGCCGCGCGCGGCTCCCCAGGGCGCCTCGACGGGGCAGCGGGGGGCCGCGCGCGGCTCCCTAAGGCGTCGCGACGAGGCAGCGGGGGCCGCGCGCAGCTCCCCACGGCGTCGCGACGAGGTAGCGGGGGGCCGCGCGCGGCTCCCCAAGGTGTCGCGACGAGACGTCGGGGGCGACGCGCGGGGCTGCGGGGCGACGCGGGGGGTCGACGGCGACGGGGGGAGGGCGCTTCGACGGTGGGAAACCGCCGCGCGCCCCGAGCGCACGGCGGGATGAAAACCGCCGAAACCCTAGAAAAAATTCGCCGCGCGCTCCGCGCGCGGCAGGAAGAAGTCGTCGCGCGACCAGTAGAACAGCAGCGGAAGCATTTGGTGGTGGGCCCACCCACAGGATCGACCCAACAGGATCGTCCTGCTCTGATACCATGTCGAGAGAATTAGGCAAAAGAGAGAGTTGAACTAGCAAGAATGGGGATACAAATAGCAAACCCTAGAAGGGTTGTACTCGCTACAGAGCACCCCACTGCAGGCTAGACAAATATAACATTCTGACACGGTGCTCCACCAGCAGCGCTGGATAGTGCTACGCGGAATGTTCATCCACGCGTCATGCAACCACTCCAGCACACGACGGAGGTTCGGCTTGTACCTCGCCGCCGCCGCGGTCGCGCCATCTGCGGTCCACATGCCGGAGAAGGCGCGGAGCCAGTGCTGGCGGTACCGCGCCTTCGCCATGGCGATCATCCCTTGGTCGAGGAGGGCTGGCGAGAGGAGAAAGGAGTGGAGGCGACGACTGAAGCTGCAGACACACGGGCATCAGACGGCTCTGGCGCAACGCTAGTGGCTACCGGAAGCAGAGCCCCGGACTACAGGGGTAATAGTCGCTGCGGAGGGTGCAGCGGACCCACGGGCGACAGGTGCAGCCGGCTCTCTGAGCTACCGGAGGTCCGCGGAACCCCGGAATACAGGTGCTGCGGACGACACGACGGCAGTCTCCGCTCAACCTCCCCCAACAGTCCCACACCCCTCGACACACACCCCTTGCTTCACCCCTAGCTCCACTCCCACGGTACCCCCCCTTAAACCCCAAACCCTAGACTCCCACACACCACCCCCCTCAGCGGCAGCTGCAGTAGAGGGAGACTAGGGAGGAGGAGGAGTAGGTAGAGTAACGCACAACCGACACCCCCACAGCCGCCACCCCCACACTCCCCACCCCCAAACCCTAAAACGGGCGAAAGGGAGAAGGAGCGCGGGGGACGGCGAGGGGGAAGGCGCGCGACCCCCAGGGCGCCACCTCTGGGCAGCGGGGGCCGCGCGCGGCTCCCCAGGGCGCCTCGACGGGGCAGCGGGGGGCCGCGCGCGGCTCCCTAAGGCGTCGCGACGAGGCAGCGGGGGCCGCGCGCAGCTCCCCACGGCGTCGCGACGAGGTAGCGGGGGGCCGCGCGCGGCTCCCCAAGGTGTCGCGACGAGACGTCGGGGGCGACGCGCGGGGCTGCGGGGCGACGCGGGGGGTCGACGGCGACGGGGGGAGGGCGCTTCGACGGTGGGAAACCGCCGCGCGCCCCGAGCGCACGGCGGGATGAAAACCGCCGAAACCCTAGAAAAAATTCGCCGCGCGCTCCGCGCGCGGCAGGAAGAAGTCGTCGCGCGACCAGTAGAACAGCAGCGGAAGCATTTGGTGGTGGGCCCACCCACAGGATCGACCCAACAGGATCGTCCTGCTCTGATACCATGTCGAGAGAATTAGGCAAAAGAGAGAGTTGAACTAGCAAGAATGGGGATACAAATAGCAAACCCTAGAAGGGTTGTACTCGCTACAGAGCACCCCACTGCAGGCTAGACAAATATAACATTCTGACACGGTGCTCCACCAGCAGCGCTGGATAGTGCTACGCGGAATGTTCATCCACGCGTCATGCAACCACTCCAGCACACGACGGAGGTTCGGCTTGTACCTCGCCGCCGCCGCGGTCGCGCCATCTGCGGTCCACATGCCGGAGAAGGCGCGGAGCCAGTGCTGGCGGTACCGCGCCTTCGCCATGGCGATCATCCCTTGGTCGAGGGGTTGCGTGAAGCATGTGGTGTTTGGCGGCAGGTAGACCAAGCGCACGTTGTTGAGCTTCTTCGTGCGGAATCCGAAAAGGTCTTCGGTTTCCACGCCCTCGGTGATCAGGGTGTGGCTGCTTGCGTTGTCGAGCAGCACGACAACCTGGCGGCCCTCAGCGTACATGGCGGTGTCAAACTGCTCAAAGAAGTGCGTGAATAGCTGCACCGCACGGGGTACGGGGAAAGTCAGGGGGGTTTGGGGGGGGGGGGGGGGGGGGGGGGGGAGATTAGAGATGGCTTCATACACCTTGTGTGCGTTAAAATGAACTTACCGCCTTAGTCATCCACCCCTTAGCAGTGTTGCGCCAGTAGCAATACTCCTCGGGGTCGAAATTCGGCCTGAAATCATGGGGCCGCTTGGCCTTGGAGATGACGAGCGGACGGAAGGCGTGTGTCCCCTCCGCGTTAACCAAGAAGCCGACGGTGAGGCGTTCCTTCGGGAGCTTCCGCCCGGCAGCCCTGCCCGTGCCGTACGTCTTGCGAGGAAGCACGCTGATGTAAAGCGCCGTCTCGTCAAAATTGTAAGTGTCACGCGGTCGCACGCCGAGATGCATGAGAAGCTGCGGAAGCTTCTCCTTTGTCGTGCGTACGGCGTTCATATCCTGGTCGGCCGCCTCGCCGACGGCACTCATGCAGCGCACACCCTGGCGGCGCAGCGCACGGCGCACCCAGCCGATGCTGCAACGGAATGTCGGAGGCGCGCCGTTCGCTTGCGCCATCGTCGCGACATGGTCGCGGATCGTCGCGAGGGTGAGCGGGACGCCGGCAGGGCCTGCGTTGGCAATCCAGCGTGCCATCGCGCGCTCCAGATCGGGGAATGCCCCTCCTCGGACCCGAATAGCGTCGACGGTGTCGTCAGGGATCCGCCATCGGTCAGCGCCTTTCAAGATACGACCAATGGTCGAACGGTCGGGCCTGACACCAAAACGCGTGAAACACCAACGCGCGAGGTCTACTTGGCGCAGCAGGGGGTTCGCCACATGATGGGCACAAATAGCCCGTTTGATGTGCAGCGCGAGCTGAGACCTATGGTAAAGGCGACGCATTTTGCGCCACGGATGAGTATTAGTTAGATTGATCTGTCTGTGGTTTGTCGAGTTGATTTATGTGCGGGCTGTGAGGTGGTGTTGTGCCTCAATGTGTTTCAGGGGTGTGCGAGGTTTCGCACAAGATGCGCGCACCAGATGCACATGCATCTGCCGGCGTTTGTGTGGTTAGGGGACAAGGTAATCACAGCCACGAACCGTGACGTGTGCTGTTTGCAGACTGTGAGGCTCTCAGGGGGCATGTACCGAGCAAGGGAAATGTACAGGTGGACATTTTCGCACAGCCACAAACTGTTAGACGCACCTGGGTGATGCACATTTGGCATGACGTAACCTGATGTTTGTTTGGCGACGTTTTACGAATGTCGTCCAAGCGTTTCGTAGCTTCTGTTTCTGGCTTAAAAACAAGGTCCGGCCCGGACGACAATGGTCGTCCTTTGCTGTGTTGCCGGGTTTGGAAGTGTTCACAAGGTAGATGCAAGTGGTCTCAGGTGCTTATACCCTAGGTGCATCGTCAGGGCAAAAAACCCACTGGGGTAAGGTTTCCAATTTGTGCTAGGCATTTTCGCGTGCAGGGGGTGAGCATCATGTGTACACCAGGAAGGCCTCCACCAATCCTGCAACACCAGCTCCACTTCGTCTAGCATCCACGAGTTTCGCTCCACATCCACTAGCGACATCTCTCGTCCATCCATTTCGAATCGAATGCACCGCAGCGATTCGCTGCGAAACTGTAGTGCCTTCCTCCCCCGTACACTCTTCCGAGTCGCGTCACTCATTTCCACGGCATCGACGCTCCACCTCATCCATCAAAGCACAGTTATCTCCCACGAGTACCCCCCAACCAATCATCATACATGCACCCAGCCTAGCTTCCAGGTCTGTATTTGGTGTCCACCACTGATTCTGTGGCTCGAGCCGAGTCGTGTCCGCCGACCAATTCAGGGGCGCGGACCTCAGTGTCGAACCGAGCTCTGCCTAGCCAGCCGACCTAGAAGGTCACGAACCACACACGATCATGCACTGGATTGGGCCCGCTCATTTTCAACAGCCTTCAATGTTTGTAAAGTACATAACGCACATGTTCAAAGCGAAGCAAATGTTGTGGCGAAGCAGTGTGGTATATTTATTCCATCAACGAACCCGCATTTCTATTGCCCTGCCGAAGTTGGCCTTCTCCGTACGCAACCCATCGCCCTCGCCTCGAGGGTTGCCGCAACGATTGTTGAAGCCGCCGCAGAGCAAGGCCAACGTTCGAATCCGCAGCGTAATCCGCAAAGCGCTTTCTTCCTTCGGAAACGCTTTCGCCCCAGCTGAGCAAGCTCATCGCTCTCGCGACGCGCGCAGCTCCATCTCGCTCCTGTCATCTCGCCGAGCCGCGTCTATGGAGAGCCCTTCATTTTCATCGCTGAACGATCCTTCCATTGACTTCCACGTCCCACAGCCCGTACACGAGCTAGCTACGTCTGCCGTGGCTTCCGGCCTTCTTTCTCTCCAGCCGCCCTCGCCCCTCGATTTTGACGACACCATCGGCGACACCGACTCCACGTCAGCCACAATCGACGTCTTTGGTAGCACCAATGCCACGTCTGAGCCTTGGGAGGAGGCTCTGCGCGCTCAGCTCGCCACTTGGTTCGAAGACCCGGACTTTGTCGACGAGGTTCCGTCGATGGACGTCGTCCCTGGCGACAAAGGCGTCGGTCTTAATCTTGACGGAGAAGCGATCGTCGCGCTTCCTCCCGACGCCGTCTTTTCTATGCTGTGCAACGCGCACAACCGCCGAGTTTATAAGAATGTCAAGGCGGCGAAGAACGAGCGCATCGTGAGTGACTGTAATGGGGTGAAGGTTTGCGAAATGGACTTCACGCTCACCTTCAGACTGCCCCCCTTTACAGGAACGTTCGACTCGCACCTGCTCTTTGTCTATGATCGCCCGAAGCGCAGGGTGACGTTCACACAAACGCGCCCCGGCTTCATGCGCAGGTTCGAAGGCTACTGGCAGGTCGAGTCGCTCCTCGTCCCAGCTTCCGCTGCCTCCTCTTCCTCCCCCTCTTCCTCGCCCTCTTCCCCCTCCCGCCCTTCTTCCCCCACTTCCTCCGCCCCCTCCCCCCCCGTCGGCACCTTCGGCTCGTCCCCGCAATCACCGCTCTCCGAAGTTTGCGGCGGCCAGGGTGATCGCGATTGGTCTGAGGATCTTGCTGGAGCTTTTGCCGCAAGCAGCGGCAATGGTTACCGCACGGCGTCGCGGCTGGTGTTGCATCAGTTCGTGCTGCCGCCGATCGCGCCGCCGAGCATTTTCAAGCGCTGTCTGCGCGCCCTGCTCCGCGAGTCGACGCGCGATCTGCTTGTAGTTTTCCAGGAGGAGGCCGCGCGGATCCGCCGCAACAAGGGGAAGGAGAAAGCGGAGGAGAAAGGGAAGGCCGGGAAGAGCTCGAAGCTGGGTGCGCTGTTTTTGCACAAGGAGGCGCTTGGGGGGAAGAAAAGTGGGTTTAGCGCGGGGAAGGGGATTTTCGGGTTGAAAAAATCGGCGCAACGGAAGGGGGCGTGAGGGACCGGTGGGCTCATCTGACGTTTCTGCTTTACAGCACAACAGAGTACAGCACAGTACACTCTCAGTAAGGTGCGGTACGGTTCCTTCCAGTGCAGTGCAGTGCAGCTTAGTATGGTACTGCAGCCCAGTACAGACGAGTGGGACGCAGCCCACGACTTGTGAAGGGGTATTATCGCACTGCGGTGCTTCGGACCATTGAGGCACGGGTGTGGGAAGCTCGAGCGGGGAAGATGGCGGCGTGGCTCTTATGCATGGTGCTGACAGCAGCAGTAGCCAATGATGGGTGTAGTATGGATCTGCAGCGAATGCTCTGTTGTCCCCTGGTGTTGTCAGCACCATGCTTTCGAGCAGAGAGTCTGCAACGGTGGGACATTTAGGGTTGATCAGGCTCAGCTGTTTTCTCTTTTATTCTTCTATATTTTTCACTATTATATTTTGACCCACTACGTTTCTTCATAGCTTTCCTCCACCCAAATAGAACGACAGATCATTTGAATACAAAGGTGGTGTTCTGATTTCAATCAGCTTGACTGGACTGGAATTGTGTCACACAGGCACACCATACCTCGGGCCGGGGACCATGCCAGCCAACTCACCTCAGCACCACCCTAAACCGTATAGAACATACCAGTATCATTTCTTTCCCCAACCAATTCCCGAACCCCCCTCAAGACATCAAGCAGCAATACAGACCGTTCGATTGTTATCCGCATTGTATCGATTTCGTCCGCGAAAGTACACTCACACAAACCGCTCGGTCCAGAGTTGAACTGCTCGGCCCTGCTGGGGAACGATCAGTACGACAAGGGCGTCTCCACAATTGTGACACTTGTCTTTATTCTCACGTCAGAAGCCCCTGATCCGATTCTGGAACAGACCCACTTGATCTGGGGGATGACGTCACGACGATTCATTCTGACGGTCACGGTTTCGTGGAGTGCAGTGCAGTGCAGAGCAGTGCCCCTTCTTTGACCGCCAGAGCAGTGTTGACAGTGGGCCGGAGTGAGGAGGAGACGGATACAGTGTACAGTGGAGCGAAGTGTACTGTATCCTTGGCAGGGCAAATCTTTTGGGGCTGGAGAAGAAATTGAATCGAAGCTTCCTGCAAGCCGTCAGCACAGCGTCGGATGTGGCCGAACTGGCATTCACAAAGCCACCTTTCCATTTCCAGACCTCAATCGACAGGGCAAAGTGCGATCGGACACACAGGCACCGTACAAAGACTGGTTTGCTTGGCAGTCAAGAGCGCGCTCCACAACGAGTAGTGACAACCTTCGTATTACCCTAAAAATAAGGGTTTCGGTTTCGAACCTCAGGTTGAATGTAAATGTTCATGTGTCGCGTTTACTTGAGGAAACGTAATTGTATGAGGAATCAGGCTGAACATTCATCGTGAAGATTTTACGGGTGTTACAACTCTGCCCACAGACTGCTGGCATCCGAATCTTCTGGCACCGACAAATGTTCCTTGTGGTTCGTTTCTCGGTTGTCCCTTTGGCTGACACCGTTTCTTTCACAACACGCTCTGGTTCCTTCCCGTCCGTCAGTTCACATCACATGGCACCAACCACGAAGGCCTCCACCAATCCCGCAACACCAGCTCCACTTCGTCTAGCCTCCACGAGTTTCGCTCCTCATCCACTAGCGATATCGAATTAACTGCGCAACGCAACGTGTTTTACATTTTGCTTTATTTTGTAGACCAGCCTCGCACAGCCCTCCCCATTTCATTATTTCCCTTATTCCTATGGACCTCACTAGCTCTTTCGCGATCTGTTTACACTTCTTCAGGAAAGAGTGTTGTGATAGATTTGTTGGAAGTTACATTCTCAAACCAGGCATGGTAAACCCTACTTTCCTTGTTTTCATTTTAGTCTTTGGATTATGAGTCGTCTATGTTGTCACCTAGTTATGTCCGCGAGTCAATGGTTGCCGTTGCGAATGGTCCACGTGTAAAATTAATAATGCGATTCTGTTAGATTTGTCGGGCCGCAATGATTGTTCGGTGCAGTTGTCGCGTCCGTGATTGCAATTGAATTGGGATTGCGTCAGATTCGTTCTCACGCAAAAGCGAGGACTTCTAGGGACCCTAAATTCAAGAAAAACGATTACGCAGAGCAATCGGACCGTGGTAGCAGGTGTAGAAACAAGTGGCAGTCCATGGGATGAAGAGATAAAAAAACGGGGACGGCGGTGTGAGGCTAGTCCACAAGATAGAGCAAAATGTGAAACACGTCACGTCGCGCATTTATTTCAGCGATATCTCTCATCCATCCATTTCGAATCGAATGCACCGCAGCGATTCGCTGCGAAACCTTATTGCCCTCCTCCCCCTACACTCTCCGAGTCGCGTCACTCATTTCCACTGCATCGTCACCTCATCTATCAAAGCACTGTATCCCCACGAGACCTCCAAACCAATCATCATACATGCACCCAGCCTAGCTTCCAGGTCTGTATTTGGTGCCCACCACTGATTCTCAGTGGCTCGAGCCGAGTCATGTCCGCCGACCTAATCAGGAGCGCGGCCCTCAGTGTCGACCCGAGCTCTGCCTAGCCAGCCGACCTAGAAGGTCACGAACCACACAGGATCATGCGCTGGATTGGGCCCGCTCATTTTCAACAGCCTTCAACGTTTGTAAATTACATAACGCACTTGTTCAAAGCGAAGCAAATGTTGTGGTGAAGCAGTGTGAAATATTTATTCCATCAACGAACCCGCATTTCTATTGCCCTGCCGAAGTAGGCCTCCTGCTCCGTGCGCTACCCATCGCCCTCGCCTCGAGGGTTGCCGCAACGATTGTTGAAGCCGCCGAAACGATTGCTTGGGACCATTGAGGCACGGATGTGGGAAGCTCGAGCGGGGAAGATGGCGGCGTGGCTCTTATGCATGGTGCTGACAGCAGCAGTAGCCAATGATGGGTGTAGTATGGATCTGCAGCAAGTGCTCTGTTGTCCCCTGGTGTTGTCAGCACCATGCTTTCGAGCAGATAGCCTGCAACGGTGGGACATTTAGGGTTGATCAGGCTCAGCTGTTTTCTCTTTTATTCTTCTATATTTTCGAGTATAATATTTTGACCCACTACGTTTCTTCATAGCTTTCCTCCACCCAAATAGAACGACAGATCATTTGAATACAAAGGTGAGTTCTGATTTCAATCAGCTTGACTGGACTGGAATTGTGTCGCGCGGGCACAACAAGCCTCGGGCCGGGGGCCATGCCAGCCAATTCACCTCAGCACCACCCTAAACCGTATAGAACATACCAGTATCATTTCTTTCCCCAACCAATTCCCGAACCCCCCTCAAGACATCAAGCAGCAATACAGACCGTTCGATTGTTATCCGCATTGTATCGATTTCGTCCGCGAAAGAATATTCACACAAACCGCCACCTCACCGCAATCACGTACTGTCCGTCGATTGGCTGTGAGGTCCGCATCCAGCCGCGCACCGCACGGAAACCCTTGTTCCTGGTTCGCTCGCAATCTGTACCAATGAATTTCCTCCCACCTCCACTCAGCGCCACGTCACGCAAATTCACTAGACTCGACTCTCAGCAGCTCCCAGCCACCCATCTTGCGACGGACTGCCCGTACCGCCAATCCCAAACCTCCGCGCAATCTTCACGCATCTAACCCTATGTCCAAACGTCGCCACCGACCTAGGCCAGAAAGAGCCAGGGTCTACTACTAATAGTCACTAGGTCGGCCACAACTCACCCTAGTTTCGACAAGCTCGTTTGTTTGTTCTCTCTGGCGCATCATGCGGCACCGCGTAGCGTATCATCAATGGCCTCTGGCGTCGCTCGCGACGCGAGGCCTAGGGCCCCCGGGTGTGCGGTGCGTCCAGCTTTTGAAACGCCAGTCCCCTTCCTTGCAGTCCAAGATCCCCGCGCCTTGCTCCCGTCCGCGTTGGCGCGAACGTTTATAAGTTCCAGCCGATTGCACGACAGTCACACCAGAAAGCCTGCAAAGGACACCACTGCTGAGCACGTACTAAGACTACGCAGCGCGGTCTCGCCTACTAAACAGCACTGTTTAGAGCGGTGCCTTTCAGATATTAAGAGTCAGAGCTTCGCTTCCACTGCCATCAGTAACCTGTCGAAGCTGCTCGTTTAGCCAGCCGCCATGTCACCCGCAATCAACGCCAAGTCAGCCGCTACGAACACCACGTCAGCCACCATCCAAACCGCGTCAGAGCCCTGGGAGGAGGCCATTAACTCGCAGCTTGCGGCGTGGTTCGACGACTCGCACTGGACGGACGAACCGCCTTCCATGACCGTTACCGTTGGGGACCACGGCCGCGGCCAGCTTGACGGCGTCGCGACCGTCGCGCTCCCCCCAGATACGGTTTTCTCGATTCTCTGCGATCCGCACAACCGCCGCGTGTTCACGTTCATAAAGTCGGTCAAGAACGAGCGCGTCGTGAGTGACTGTAACGGGGTGAAGGTGGTCGAACTGGACATAGTGTTCGCGCTCAAGGTGCCCTTCTTTACAGGCACGTTCGACGCGCACCTGCGCAACGTGCACGACCGCCCCAACCGCAGGGTCACCTTCTGCCTGTCGCGCCCCGGCTTCATGCGTAAATTCGAGGGATACTGGCAGGTTGAGCCGCTCCTCGTCCCCGCTTCCGCCACCTCCGCCGCTTCTGCCGCTCCCGCCACCTCCGCCGCCTCCGCCGCCTCCGCCGCTCCCGCCGCTTCCCCCGCTTCGGCCGCCACGCCTTCAGCCAGCGATGTGACGGTGCCTCCCCACTCCCCTTTTCCCCCCGCTGCCTCCCCGCCCTCGTTTTCCGCCTCTGCCGACTTGGCAGACTCCTTCCCCACAGACGCCGTTGCTTCCGCTCCGCCATCGCCGCTCTCGGATGTCATGTTTCTCGGCAGCTTCTCTGACTGCGAATCAGAGACCGATTTCGAATTGGATCCTTCTGCCAGCGATTCGTCTGGCAGCGTCAGCAGCAGCCCGGACCGCTTCCCTTCCCGCACAGTACCAGACCTCGCCGCTGCGAGCATCAGCGGCGGCGGCATGTGCGGCGGGTTAGGCGGGGACGGTACCGCGCGCGTGGCGTCGCGGCTGGTGCTGCAGCAGGTGGTGGAGCCGTCGCTAGCACCGCCCCCAATGTTCCGACGCTGCGTTCACGCGCTGCTCAAGGCGGCCACACGCGACGTGCTCGTCGTTTTCCAGTACGAAGCCGCGCGGATCCGGAGCAGCAAGGGGAAATTCCCCTGGAAAAATGGAGCGGAAGCGGGTGCGGAGGAGGGGGGAGGGGGGAAAGGAAAGGCGGGGAAGAGCTCGAAGCTGGGAGCGCTGTTTTTGCACAAGGAGGCGCTTGGAGGGAAGAAAAGTGGGTTCGGCACGGGGAGAGGGGGTTTCGGGTTGAAGAAACCGGCGCAGCGGAAGGCATGGAGTGGGTGTGAAGGTGACAATGATGGAGAGCCAGTAAGCAACCCATGGAAGCTACAGCGCTGAGAGCAGCAAAGGTAAGTCCACCAGGAGATACCAGACACTTGCAAAGTTTCTATGGCCCTCATGCATGGTGCTGACAACAGCAGCAGCAGCAGCAGCAGCATAGCCTGTGGAGTCGTTTGGGCACATGGGCAGATAGCCCTGTGTGGGCCATCATGTGCCCTCAGGATTGCACAAGGGTTCCCAGCAGAGGGTAGGATGGGAAGGGAGTGACGCCTGCTGCTGTCAGCACCATGCATTTGAGCCTCTATTGGGTTTAGAGTGTAGAGTGGGAAAGCTACGGCCCTAAAGGGCACTATTCTTTGTAAAAGAGGAGTTGTGCTAGAATTATTGTACGAGTTGTGTTTAATCGTTATATAGAGAAGCTGCAGTGAAGTGCCGATTGCATGAACGAGATCCTCAGTAGCATCATAAGACATGTACAATGCAACCCATAAGCATGACCTATTGTGGCTTTGGCAGCTCCTTTGGGCACCCCACCCAGAATACACTGAAGCCCGCCCCGCGCATTGCCACTCGAGTCTTCCATGCATCGTTTCGATGCACCAACCAATACGGCACTGCATATACAGAAAGTGGTGCATGCCAAAATGATGCTTCCGCCACAAGAGTATTGATCTGACAGACAGGTCATAGCATAGGACCTCAGTTCTGAACATGGCAAGGGTGGTAACCGAGGTGTGGTAAATGCAGCAGCGACTGCTGCACCGCAGCACAAAGAGTGAGCTGAGGGTTTTGTTTCTCATGACTGGTTCATTTCCGGAGCCAGTATTATAACGAGGAACGTGGTGCACGCTGCAGTGACTGTTGAGGAGCCTCAGAAGTCACCTCTGTGGGCACAGTTTCGAATCCTGTCTGGTTCATTTCCGGAGCCAGTAAATAATGAGGAACGTGGTGCACGCTGCAATGACTGCCCCAAGGATGAGGGTATCGCGCGACTTCTTTCGCCGAATGGCCCCTGCAGGTATGGGCGGAGAGAGGGGGTGGGGAGCAGGGGCGGGAGGAGGGGAGATAAGGGTTTAGGGTTCGGGGAGGAATGAGGATGGAAGTGGCTTGAATGCCCCGGAAATGAGCGTGTCTCACGACTTCTTTCGCCGAATGGCCCCTGCACGCATGGGCGGAGGGTGGGGGTCGGAGAGGTGGGAATAGGGAGGAGGAGGATGGGAGGGAAGAGCGAGGAGAGAAAATTACAGTGGCAGGGATTTTGCATGCCCCGGAGCCGGTATACGAGTGTTGCGAGACTTCTTTTGGTGAATATACACATGCGCACACATAAACGACGTACCGAGCACGCTTCTAAGAAGAGGGAAGCGATCTGATAGCAGCTTGATGCGGCCCTGAATGCTCGCAAAGAGCGATCGCTGCGATGCCAGAGCTGCCTTGGTGCTGGCTGCGTGTGAGATGAGCTCGTCCATCTGAGGGGTGGGGTGCGGTGAGGTGGGATGGGGTGGGGTGGGATTGTACAACTAAGTTGGGTAGCGCCAGAGCTGCCTTGGTGCTCGCTGCGTGTGAGATGAGGTCGTCCATCTGAGGAGTGGGGTGCGGTGAGGTGGGTTGGGTGGGGTGAGGAGGGTTGGGGTGGGGTGAGGTGGGTTGGGGTGGGGTGGGGTGGGGTGTGGGCAGGAACGAAAAGAGGAACGGGGATGAGGAAAGGGCATTGGAATTTGGAAATCCATTCCAGCTGGGTGGAGGGGAGGAAAGGGCGGCAGCATGAGAGAGAAAGGGAGAGGGAACGGGAGAGGGAAAGGGAGAGAGAAAGGGAGAAGGAAAGGGAGAAGGAAAGGGAGAGGGAAAGGGAGAGAGAAAGGGAGAAGGAAAGGGAGAAGGAAAGGGAGAGGGAAAGGTGGAGAGAAAGGGAAAAGGAAAGGGAGAAGGAAAGGGAGAGGGAAAGGGAGAGAGAAAGGGAGAAGGAAAGGGAGAAGGAAAGGGAGAGGGAAAGGGAGAGGGAAAGGGAGAGGGAAAGGGAGGCAGCATGATAGTAGAGGGATGGAAAGCGGAAACAGAATGGCATGAGAGTGAAGGCTGTTTTGTTGTGACGGGAATTTCACCCGAACAACGCAATTACTGCCTGAACGGATTACAGTCACCTGAGCTAGGTAGTGAAGAATGGTCAGCGAGGTGACATTAGTGAAGAATTGTCACAACTAGCATGAATTCACGCTGTTACCAGGCGAGTAACCTGAGAGAGGTGGCATTGGTCAAAATTCGTCAGAGCTAGCATTGAATTGTGCTGTTATTTGAATTACCTGCGGGTCAGTTGTTTTATGCTGCATGTGCACCTTTGCCATGCTGTTGTAATCACCTGAGCCATGCTGTTGTAATCACATGAGCCATGCTGTTATAATCACCTGAGCCATGCTGTTGTAATCACATGAGCCATGCTGTTATAATCACCTGAGCCATGCTGTTATAATCACCTGAGCCATGCTGTTGTCATCACCTCAGCCATCCTGTTGTAATCAACTGAGCCATGCTGTTGTAATCACCTGAGCCATGCTGTTATAATCACCTGAGCCATGCTGTTGTCATCACCTCAGCCATCCTGTTGTAATCACCTGAGCCATGCTGTTGTAATCACCTGAGCCATGCTGTTATAATCACCTGAGCTATATTGCCGTGAATTGCTCGCCTCTCCAGCAATTGACTTTGGCTGGTGGAACCTGATGGCTGTGCGGAGGCGAAACGAGGGAGAGGTGAGAGATGGACGAGTGGAAAAGTATGAGATCAATTGCTGATGCAGCCTAATGGAAAGCAGCGCGCGGAAGCAGCAGCGGCATGCATGCATGCTTGCACGGCACATCACAGGCAAGCAGGCAGCGCATCACTAGGAGGCAGTGGAGGATGGCTGTGGGAAGGACGTGAAAAAAAGGTACAGCAACATGCACATATTCCCCTCTGTTATTCATTCCTCTCTTCCATTCCTTTTTTAATATACTGACTTTTTTACTAATTCGCTTCCCTCTTAAATCGTGCATGGCACATCACATACAAAACGGATCACATACAAGCAGCAGGGACGGGAATCGTACCACAAGGAGGTCGGCGGTGGCAGTGGTGGATGCACGGGAGGAGGAGAGCAGCTCCGCGTGCTGCCTCATCATGGCCAGGTTGCCCCTCGTGCGCCGAAACTCCTGTGGAGATGAGGGAGTTGAATGGGGAAGTGGGAGGCATGGGGAGCGAAACAGGCAGGGAGGAGGAGAGCAGCTCCGCGTGCTGCCTCATCATGGCCAGATTGCCCCTCGTGCGCCGAAACTCCTGGCAGACAAGACATGGTTCAGGGGGAAGAGGGGGGAAGAGGCGGGGAGTGTAACAGGCAGGGACGAGGAGAGCAGGTACAAGGAGCATGCATGAGGAGCATGCATGAGGAGCATGTATGAGGAGCATGTATGAGGAGCATGCATGAGGAGCATGCATGAGGAGCATGTATGAGGAGCATGTATGAGGAGCATGTATGAGGAGCATGTATGAGGAGCATGTATGAGGAGCATGTATGAGGAGCATGTATGAGGAGCATGTATGAGGAGCATGTATGAGGAGCATGTACGAGGAGCATGTATGAGGAGGGATGCAACCCAGTCTGGTGTTGCACCTTCTGCACTCGTGTCACATGCATGAGTGAACTAAAGCGAATCTGCTTATAGCGCATCCAGTCCGCACCCACTCACCCACCCACCTACCCACCTGAGTGAACTCCTGCAGGATGTCCCGATGCCGAGCCACCTTCTGGGACAGCGACGCCATGGCAGCCGTGCCCTCGCCACCGGCACCACCACCACCAGCGGCAGCACCACCACTGCCTCTACCACCACCAGTTATCCCCCCCTTGTTCCAGCATGCAATGCAACAGCGGGTCACTCACGTACCTGAGTGAACTCCTGCAGAATGTCCCGATGCCGAGCCACCTTCTGAGACAGCGACGCAGTGGCAGCCGTGCCCTCGCCACCGGCACCACCACCACCGGCGGAGCAGCAGCGCGCCATGCGGTTGTTGGTGTCGGCCAGGCGCTGCAGCTGCGCTTCAATGGCCTTTTCCACCGCCACCACCGACCCCTCGCTGCCCCCTTCGCCCCCCTCGCCGTACCCTGCAGCGAGGGGTAAGGGATTACACGGGTGGGGTGGCAAAGCGGGACGAGAAACGAGGGAAGGATGGAAGCAGCGGAATGAGAGGATGGAAAGGAGCGAGAGAAAAGGGAAAGGGAAGCACAAACATCTTCCTTTTTCGCCCTGTGCTCGTTCGGTAACCAGAGTACCCCTTATCAAGATGCGACAACAGCATGCACTGCTGACCGTTGAGCAACCCACCATTGTGCAGCCGACATGTTGCACAGCTCGGTGGACGGCGACAGTTGCGCGTCCAGGCAAGCTGTCGCACAATGTCGCACAGCTGGTCGCAGAGCGTCGCACGACTCACCGCTATGCGACAGCATGCTGCAGAGCTTGGCGTACGACGACAGCTTCACGTCCAGGTCGCCCTCCAGCTTCCGCGCCTCGCGCCGAAGCTCCTCCCACGGAGCGCCCGAGTCGTCCGCAGCCATCCTCCCTCGCCGTTTCTAACAGCGGGTTCGACAAGCTCGACGCTCGACGGGCTTGACGTTCGGGTTTGATGTTCGGGTTCGACGTTCGGGTTCGACGTTCGGGTTCGACGTTCGGGTTCGACGTTCGGGTTCGACGTTTGGGTGCGATCGCAGCAGGCCGGTCAGCAGGTCATGCTTCCTCGTCCAGACCTACTGCAGTGCCGCTTACAGCATTTATATCGCGCAGTTATATGGAGTGCAATCTCTACCGATACTAGAATGGCGCTTCGTACTGTGCTATCGCAAGCGGTTCTACGTAGAGTGATTCTACAGCGCTCTTTGGAAGATAGAAACCACTTCCTGCACTGCTGAAGGCACCTAGAGCGCGGAATAAGGTGAAGTAAACTCAGAATACTGGAAGAAGCTTTAAACAAGATATATCATCCATCCGACGAGGACGCGTGGTTCCGCAGTAAGAACCTGATTCACTAACCAGCCAGGGCGACAGGAGAGCCAACCTGCATATAGTGACGTTTACTATCGCACATCGTGGTTTCAGTTCTTACCGAATTCACCGCAGTCACGCATTTCCTAGAGGGACGTATGACTGGTATGTAATTTGCCTCTCAGCTCATCGACATTACCCATAATATGAAATTAGGGATCTAGTATCTTGGAATACTCTGGAATCTGACCGTTGGTTGCTGTGGGGCTTCAATAGGAAAAGGATTCTGCGTATATCCCGTATACGCGATAGAGTTCGGAGAGAAAGTCAGGTTTGGAGTCTACGCGAACGTATTGGTAACCCTACAGTTTGCCATCGCGACGTCCGCGCTGGGGCCAATCAAGGCCCCGTCGAACATGTCAGTAACTGTGTATGGAGCCTAGTAACCCAGCATCTCTCGACTTCGCTTTCGTGAACACCGACGCGCGCCGTTTCATGGGAACTGAAGTTCAAGGCGAAATGTTTGCAAATGCAAAAGTAATTTCGCTATCCCGTGATTCGCAGAAAAATTGTGTGTACCAGTCAATTTTCAAACCTTGCCGTGTTCTGCAGGCGCATCAGCTCTGATGCGCCGGAGGCTCGGACTGATGCGCAGATGGGAAAATCGAGGTTCGGAAATGGCGAAATTGAAATTGAGAAATTTAGGTTCGGGAAATTGGAATTAGGCTTGGAAAATCCGGTTTTGGACATCTGAAAATCTCGAAATTGGGCATCCAAAATTTTCGAAAATTGGGCATTTCAGATTTCGAAATCCAATTTCCTCACATTTTCCCACGCTGATGGATTCGTCGAAGTGATTGGCCAATGAGGTTGCAGCGATTTTCCGAATTTTCATGATGCGCGCATGAAACGGTTTTCCGAAGTTGCATGATGCGCGCATTTCAAATGCGCCCGATTGCCAGGAGAAGAAGCTTCTTGGAACGCGGACACATTACAAATTTCGAGGGACAAAAAGGCCGTTCTGCGCAGGCATTCGGGCTTGATTTGCCCTGGCAGCCATGCGCTTATCGCGAGCCTCGATAACCTGTCAGGAGGTTGTCAAAGAAGGATCCTGGAACGCGGGGGAATTGCATCAATGTACATTGATGCGCCCTGATGCGGCCTGATGCGCCTGCAGAACAAGGCCCATATGAAACCCAATCCCCAGAATCCCATCTTGAGTGCCGAACTTGGCAACCCTGTGAAAGCCCGCATTGTAACACGATTGGGGGGTTCAAATAAAAGCTTAGAACACTCTTCTACAGGGGTGAGAAAAAAGGCTCAGGAACGCCATTCCTTTTAGCGGGGTGGAAAACAAGGTGGCATTGGCGTTAGGGCGCGCAGCGGGATGAGGAGCGCGGGGTCGACAGGAAAGGGCGGTCGCGCCAAGTCCAACTGGCCCGACACTACCCCCGCGTTTCAAAGTCTCGCGCCTCGGAAGCGCGACGAGGCACGTGTATTCCTTACCGCCATCGCCGTCGCTCCTGCTCCTGCATCAGCAAGCGTCGTGCCGCCGCCGCCGCCCCCTGCTGCCGTTCCCGCTATCCCCGCCAAACCGTCTCCTCCCGTTTTTCCGCTCCCGCAACCATTCCCACCCTCCCCGCGCGCGCTTATTTTCCTCCCGGTATTGCCGCGCTCTTCATTCCTCACCCCTGTCTCCCCACACCTCCGCCTTCCCCCTTCCCTCCCCGCGTTCCCCTCTCCACCCGTTCCCTCTTTCCCACTCCTCCTCTTACCACCCCGCCCAGCCCTCCCCCTTCTCCCCCTGGCTCGCGCGCGCGCTGCTGTTCCTCCCCGGGCTCGCCACGGGCTTCATTCTCGGCCGCCTGCTGGGGGGAAGCGGGGGAAGCGGGGGAAGCGGGGGAGGCGGAAAGGCGGCAGGGGGGAAGAAGGGGGAGCTGACTGCAGGGGGCGGGGGAAGCAGTAGCGGGCGGAAGGGAGGCGGGGGCAGCGCGGGGGGGAGGTCAGCGCCAGTGTTTGGGGGGAAGGCGGAGACGGAGGGGGCGGGGGGGCTGGTGGTGGGGCGGGGGAGTGAGCTGAAAATGGTGCTGGTGGTGCGGCAAGATCTCAAGATGGGCGCGGGGAAGATCGCCGCCCAGTGTGCCCGTGAGTGGGGGAGGGGGGGGCTGCTGGTGGGGGCCTGGTGGTGGGGTGGGGGAGTGAGTTGAGGTGGTGCGGCAGGACTTGAAGATGGGCGTGGGGAAGATTGCCGCCCAGTGTGCCCGTGAGTGGGGGAGGGGGGGGCTGCTGGTGGGGGCCTGGTGGTGGGGGCTGCTGGTGGGGGCCTGGTGGTGGGGTGGGGGGGTGAGTTGAGGTGGTGCGGCAGGACTTGAAGATGGGCGCGGGGAAGATTACCGCCCAGTATGCAAGTGTCTGCCTTATCCACACTCTCTCCCTCACCTCCCCCTCGCCTCTCCCTCACATTCCCACCTCGTCTTCTCCATCCCCCACTCATCTCCCCCATCCCCACCTTCCTTTTCCTCCTACCAGATGCGGCAGTGGGCATTCTCACTGACCTCAAAAAGAGGTGACTTTTGAGGCGACTCAAAAATCAACCCCACAACTCCCCCCCCCCCCCGCCTCTCTCTCCCTCCCTCCCTCATCTCCCCACCGTCCCTTTCCTCCTACCAGATGCGGCAGTGGGCATTCTCACCGACCTCCAAACCAGGTGACTTTTGAGGCGACTCAATAGTCACCCCCCCTCGTCTATCTTCCCCCCTCCCTCATCTCCCCACCTCGCCTCCCCGGACCAGATGCGGCAGTGGGCATTCTCACCGACCTGCAAACCAGGTGCGCCTCTCTCCTCCTCCTATCCCTCTCCCCCCGTTCACACTCTAATCAATCTCTCTCTCTCCCTACACCAAACTCAACGCAGGAGAGCCAAACTCAACGTCCTGTCCTGTTGATTGCAGTAGCAACACGTCTCTAACTCTCTCCTCCCTTCTCCCTTCCCTTCCCTTATCTTCCTCGCACCCCCCGTTCCTCTCCTCTCTCCCTTCCCCCAATGCCTATTCCTTGCCCGCCTGCCTATCTGAGTGCCAATGTGTGTGCGAGCAGCAACAAGGCGTTGCTGCGGCACTACGAGGCGTGTGGGCAGCCCAAGATAGTGGTCACGTGCAGCAACCTCAAGGAGATGTGAGTCATGCTTATCACAGCAACTAGTATTGGAACAATCACTTTTGAGACTTCTCAACCTTGCAACGTTTCACTGCAACAAGTATTGGAGCATGTCCCGAGGTTTTTGTATTTCCCATTAGTGTTGTACTTTCTTCTTGCTCGGTTTTGCTGTGCCCTCATGTATGTGACATGCCACAATAATCTCACCATACCAGTGATATCACCGTTGTGCACCGCTGTGCACCACTGTGCAGGAACGAGTTGAGAGGGAAGGCACAGCAGCACCGGTTGCCTGTCTTCACTGTCTGCGATGCCGGCAGGACTCAGGTGGGCCTCAGGTGTTTCTTCAGGTGATACTGGCAGGGCTGGGGGTTGGTCTCAGGCGTTTGTTCAGGTGATACTGGCAGGACTAAGTGACGCTTCAGGTAATACTTCAGGTAATAATTCAGGTGTTCAAGTGTTTCTGTTTTGTTCTCCTTCTGTTTCCCGTGCTCGCAACCCATGCTCGCAACCCATGCTCCCCTCCCATACTCCAACCCCTTATGCTTTCTATCCCATACCCCTGCTCCAAACCCCCCGCCCTCAACAGGTGGCAGCAGGATCCAAGGCAGTGCGTGCCGTGGGACCAGGTCCGCGCCCCTCTTTGACGAAAGTTGGGTTCTGAGACGTCTCAAGAGCCATCCCCCATGCTCCACCTGCCTCAATTCCCCCCCACCCCCACCTTCAACAGATGGCAGCAGGGTCCAAGACAGTCCTTGCCGCGGGTCCAGCTTCGTGCCCCTCCCCTCCATTCCCCTTTCTCCCTCTTCCACCTTCCTTTCTCCCCCTCCCTGCCCCAACCCCCCCATCCCATGGCAGGTGGCAGCAGGGTCTAAGACAGTCCTTGCCGTTGGTCCAGGTCCGTGCCCACTTGCCTCTTTTCACCTTTCCCTTCCACCCATACCATACTCTTGTTCTTCTAACCCCTCCCTTACCACTTGCCTCTTTTCACCTTTTCCTTCCACCCATACCATACTCTTGTTCTTCTAACCCCTCCCTTACCACTTGCCTCTTTTCACCTTTCCCTTCCACCCATACCATACTCTGGTTCTTCTAACCCCTCCCTTACCACGCCCCCAATCCCCAACCCTCTTCTAATCCTCCCTCCAAATTCTCCCCCTTCACTTACGCCCCCTCCTAACCAAATTTCTCCTACCTTCGCTAAACCTTTCACGGCCTGCTGCCTGTTTCATCCTCTCCGTGATGGAAGTAGTGTTTTGAGACGTCTCAAAACATTTCTCCTCCCTTTGCTGAGGCTTTCACGGCCCTGCTGCCTGTTTCATCCTTCCCTCGTCCCCCACATTGCCCCTCCTCACCCACACCCAACCCCACCCACACCCCTTCCCTTCGCAACGGTTGATGCAGGCCCCAAAGCACTGGTTGATTCAGTTACCGGCAATCAACGCTTGTTGTAAGCATTGTATTGGAATGCAATACAGTACAGTGCAGTTTAGTGTAGTACAGTACAGTCTGCGGTGAAGTGTAGTTTCTCTAATACGGTAGTGTAACCATGGCATGCTCTTTGCTGTCTTGACGAAGGTCAGACTATACAGGGAACATGCGATTGCAAACAATATAATACAAGGAAAACAAACAAAGCAAACTACACTACAAGGTGCGCTGGTGGTGTGCCGGCACGAGTAATGAAAACTGCATACGGTAGCAGTGCAGCGCTTGAGGCGGCTCAGAAGTATGAACAAAGGTGCAAAGGTGCCGACTGCGTAGATGATAGTTTGACAGTGATTATGTGATGTGTGATGCGCTCATTCCCTGGCTGGCACCAGAATGTGTGCTGCACCCGTTGTGATCAATCTGAGTCCTTCGGCACGTAGCTAAGCGCTGGAGCTGGAGAGGGCAACGCCTGCCAGGAATGGCTGGTTGGAATCCTTGTTGGGCGACAGAATCGCCTGTGATTGGCACAGACAGGTTGAAAGGGGAAGAGAGGGTGGGGGTAATGGTGTGGAGAGGGGGAAAGTGCTGCAGGTGGAAAGAGCAACGCCTGCCAGGAACGGCTGGTTGGAGTCCTTGTTGGGCGAAAGAATGGCCTGTAAACTCCGGCAGTAGGTTTGAAGGGGAAAGGAGAACGCGGGAATCGGGAGGAAAGGGGGAAGTGTGGGGGGGGGAGGATGTGATGAATACCGTACCCTGTTCGCTGTTCAACAGTTACTGCAGTGCACTCAGTAACGCTCACCGCAGTGCATTTGGAGGCATTTTGAGTTCCTACTAGCACTTAGGATAGTAGCATCATGTGCTGACACAGCAATCTCTCTATTCACGCATCTGCTGCTGCTGCATGTGCCACAGTGTACGTGGTGCCACAGTGTACGTGGTGCCACAGTGTACGTGGTGCCACAGTGTACGTGGTGCCACAGTCCACACACACTCACCGCGTTATCACTGTGTGCCTCTGCAGCAGCCTCTGATTCTGCATCCACACTCATTTGCTCTTTCTGGCATTGTTGCTGCATGTCCCTCAGTTGGAATGGCAACACTTAAGTTCTCACCCACTCACCGCGTTACCACTGTGTGCCTCTGCAGCAGCCTCTGTATCTGCATCCACACGCATATGCTCTTGCTGCTGCTGCTGCTGCAACTCTCTCTGCTGCTGCCGACGCTGCTGCACGAGGCGGCAGCAGGTGAAGGAGACGGTCATGAGCACGATGGCGAGGGCGATGAGCAGACAGACGGTGAAGAAGGAGGACCCCCATGTGGAATCGGAAGGAGGGGGCTGCTTGGTGGCTGTGTGGGGAGGTGGCAGGGAGGGAGGTGAAGGGAGGCAGTAAGTGGGAGTGTCATGAGCACGATGGCGAGGGCGACGAGCAGACAGACGGTGAAGAAGGATGAACCCCACGTGGAACCCGAGGGAGGGGGTTGCTGGTGGGTGGCTGTGAGGGAAGGGGCAGAGGGAGGTAAGGGAGGCAATGAGAGGGAGTGCTATGAGAGGGAGTGCTATGAGAGGGAGTGCTATGAGAGGGAGTGCTATGAGAGGGAGTGCTATGAGAGGGAGTGCTATGAGAGGGAGTGCTATGAGAGGGAGTGCTATGAGAGGGAGTGCTATGAGAGGGAGTGCTATGAGAGGGAGTGCTATGAGAGGGAGTGCTATGAGAGGGAGTGCTATGAGAGGGAGTGCTATGAGAGGGAGTGCTATGAGAGGGAGTGCTATGAGAGGGAGTGCTATGAGAGGGAGTGCTATGAGAGGGAGTGCTATGAGAGGGAGTGCTATGAGAGGGAGTGCTATGAGAGGGAGTGCTATGAGAGGGAGTGCTATGAGAGGGAGTGCTATGAGAGGGAGTGCTATGAGCATGATGGTGAGGACGATGAGGAGGCAGACGGTGAAGGAGGAACCCATAAGTGGAAACCGAGGGGGGGGTTCTGCTGCTGGGTGGCTGTGTGGGGAGGAACAGGGAGGGAGGCAGGTGAGGGAGAGAGAGTGTTATGAGGGCAAGCACTGGTGGTGCTGCATCTGTCTCTTGTTTTTGAGTCGACTCAAAAACAGGTGAGGGAGAGAGAGTGTTATGAGGGCAAGCACTGGTGGTGCTGCATCTGTCTCTTGTTTTTGAGTCGACCCAAAAACAGGTGAGGGAGAGAGAGTGTTATGAGGGCAAGCACTGGTGGTGCTGCATCTGTCTCTTGTTTTTGAGTCGACCCAAAAACAGGTGAGGGAGAGAGAGTGTTATGAGGGCAAGCACTGGTGGTGCTGCATCTGTCTCTTGTTTTTGAGTCGACCCAAAAACAGGTGAGGGAGAGAGAGTGTTATGAGGGCAAGCACTGGTGGTGCTGCATCTGTCTCTTGTTTTTGAGTCGACCCAAAAACAGGTGAGGGAGAGAGAGTGTTATGAGGGCAAGCACTGGTGGTGCTGCATCTGTCTCTTGTTTTTGAGTCGACTCAAAAAGAGGTGAGGGAGAGAGAGTGTTATGAGGGCAAGCACTGGTGGTGCTGCAAATCCCCCTGCTGTCTGTGCTGCTGCACGAGGCGGCAGCAAGTGAAGAAGATGGCTAGGAGAATGGTGAGGGCGATGAGGAGACAAACGATGAAGACGGATGAACGAACCCCACGTGGAATTGAAGGGGGAGGGCTGCTGGGTGCCTGCGTGGGGAGGATTGCTGGGCGCGTCATGTGGGTAAATGAGGCGTGCATATGACAACCACGTCCAGATGGCAGCCAAACGCAGGCAGCCAAACGCAGGCAGCCAAATGCAAGCACGTGAACGCTAGCAGCTGTGTAGGCTTACCAGCAGCAGCGGCAGCAGCAGCAGCAAATTCCGGAGGGGGCGAGTAGAACTGAGCACACGTGGCAGCATCCAACTGGCCGTCAGCTGCAGCAGGCATCTCTGATGGGGAGGTTGCGGAGGTGAAGCAGTTGAAGAAGTACCTGGGGTAAAAGGGGGGTGAGAGAGAGAGGACCGTTTGAGAAGTGGGGGGATGGGAAAGGGACGTTCAGTTGGAGGCACCTGAGAGCAACAGAGCAGCACCTGAGAGCAACAGAGCGGCACCTGAGAGCAACAGAGCGGCACCTGAGAGCAACAGATCGTCACCTGAAGTCAGCCTGGCGTTCAGGAGGAGGCAGCGGCACAGAGCCGTTGAAGAAATTGTTTGAAATGTCACTGTGATGTGATGGGGGGAGGGGAGGACACGAGGAGAGGAGAAACAGAAACAGAGCTGTTGATTGCAATGTCACTGTGATGGGGAGAGGAGGACACGAGAGGAGAGGAGAGGAGAGGACAGGAGAGGAGAGAAGAGAGGAGAGGAGAGGACAGGAGAGGAGAGAAGACAGGAGAGGAGAGGGGAGGAGAGGAGAGCGAACAAGAAACTTGTGAGACACCTCAGAAGGCACACGCAAGGTATGGCATGGCATGGCACTGAAAGAAGCCTTGGCATAGTATGGCATGGCATGGCACTGAAAGCCATGGCATGGCATGTCATGGCATTGCACGGCACGGCGCAGCATGGCACAGCATGCCATGGCATGGGATGGGATGGGATGGCATGGTATGGTATGGCATGCGATGGTGGCATGGGATGGTATGGCATGCAACAACACTCACACGTCAGTGAGCATGGAGGGCCGCCAGAGGTCATCAGGCAGCGGACCGGAGAGGCGGTTGGAGTGCAGATAGCTGGTGATGGCATGGCATGGGGGGCATGGCATGGCATGCGATGGGATGGCATGGGGGTGGTGGGAAGGGGGGCGTGGCATCGTGGGCCATGAGATGGGGCCACGGGGTAGGCATGGGTCATCGGGCCACGGGGTAGGCATGGGTCATGGGGCCACGAGGTAGGCATGGGTCATCGGGCCACGGGGTAGGCATGGGTCATGGGGCCACGAGGTAGGCATGGGTCATCGGGCCACAGGGTAGGCATGGGTCATCGGGCCACGGGGTAGGCATGGGTCATCGGGCCACGGGGTAGGCATGGGGATCACATGGGAAGAATGGGGGGAACGGAGGGCAGGGCATGGGGGTAATGATTTTGCACGTGGAGCATGGGTGGGATGGGAGGGGGCATGGATGGCATGGGATAGAATCGTACCATGGCAGAAGCAGCACGGACAGCAGCAAGAGAAGCAGAGAAGATGATCCTCCCACCAGCAAGAGCAAGGAGGCTCCCCCACCAGCTACGACTATCCCCCTCATCTCCGATTTTCGAGGCGCCTAAAAAATGCTCCCCCACCAGGTCCGCCGCTCTCCCCGCTCCCCGACCCGCTCCCCGACCCGCTCCCCGACCCGCTCCCCGACCCGCTCCCCGACCCGCTCCCCGACCCGCTCCCCGACCCGCTCCCCGACCCGCTCCCCGACCCGCTCCCCGACCCGCTCCCCGACCCGCTCCCCGACCCGCTCCCCGACCCGCTCCCCGACCCGCTCCCCGACCCGCTCCCCGACCCGCTCCCCGACCCGCTCCCCGACCCGCTCCCCGACGTGCTCCCCGACCCGCTCCCCGACCCGCTCCCCGACCCGCTCCCCGACCCGCTCCCCGACCCGCTCCCCGACCCGCTCCCCGACCCGCTCCCCGACCCGCTCCCCGACCCGCTCCGACAATCCTCCTCATCTCCCCACTCCGACAATCCTCCTCATCTCCCCACTCCGACAATCCTCCTCATCTCCCCACTCCGACAATCCTCCTCATCTCCCCACTCCGACAATCCTCCTCATCTCCCCACTCCGCACTCCCCTATCCCCACTCCCCACTCCCCTCTCGGCCCCCACTCCCCTCTCGGCCCCCACTCCCCTCTCGGCCCCCACTCCCCTCTCGGCCCCCACTCCCCTCTCGGCCCCCACTCCCCTCTCGGCCCCCACTCCCCACCAACTCCCCACCTACTTCCAACCCATTCCCCACCCACTCTCCACCACCCCACAGCCACTCCTCACCACTCTCCACCGTTTCCCCCCGCTCACATGTGTTGGATGTTGGGGAGTTGAGTGAGGAAGGCGGGGAAGGGGCCCGAGGCAGCAGCAGAAGAGAAGGAGAAGAAGGTAAGTGATGAGAGCGCGGACCACGAGGGCGGGAAGGTGGCGGTTAGGGGCAAGCGGTAGAGGGAGCTGCATTGGGGAAGGGGAGATGGGATAGGAAATGAGGAGGGGTAAGGAGGGGTAAGGAGGGTAAGTAGGGGGCTTGGGAAAATTGTGGCGATAAGGCAAAGAGGGTTGGGAAAGCAGTCACAGGCAGGTGTTCCAGGGAACTGTGAGGGGAGGAGTAGAAGGGGTTTGGGTATACAAAGGGATAAGGAGGGGTGAAAGAGGGTTGGGAGAAGGGATGAAGGTGGCGGTCACACACAGACGGTACAGGGGCTGAGAGAAGGGGGGGAAAACAGCAGAGAGATATAACGAGGGATAAGGAGGGGTATGGAGGGGTGCTAGGGAGGGATAGATGAAGGGGACGGTCACACACAGGTGTACAAGGAGGTGGGAGAGGGGGCGAGCTAAGGAGGGAGAGCGGAGAAGCGGAGAGGGATGAGAGTGTAGGAGACACGTTGGGGGCAAGAGAAGGGACGGAAGCAGGAAGATGAGATGAGGAAGGAGTGGTTACAGTGGGAGAAGGAGTGGTTACAGTGGGAGAAGGAGTGGTTACAGTGGGAGGAGTGGTTACAGTGGGAGAAGGAGTGGTTACAGTGGGAGAAGGAGTGGTTACAGTGGGAGAAGGAGTGGTTACAGTGGGAGAAGGAGTGGTTACAGTGGGAGAAGGAGTGGTTACAGTGGGAGAAGGAGTGGTTACAGTGGGAGAAGGAGTGGTTACAGTGGGAGAAGGAGCGGTTACAGTGGGAGAAGGAGTGGTTACAGTGGGAGAAGGAGTGGTTACAGTGGGAGAAGGAGTGGTTACAGTGGGAGAAGGAGTGGTTACAGTGGGAGGAGTGGTTACAGTGGGAGAAGGAGTGGTTACAGTGGGAGAAGGAGTGGTTACAGTGGGAGAAGGAGTGGTTACAGTGGGAGAAGGAGTGGTTACAGTGGGAGAAGGAGTGGTTACAGTGGGAGAAGGAGTGGTTACAGTGGGAGAAGGAGTGGTTACAGTGGGAGAAGGAGTGGTTACAGTGGGAGAAGGAGTGGTTACAGTGGGAGAAGGAGTGGTTACAGTGGGAGAAGGAGTGGTTACAGTGGGAGAAGGAGTGGTTACAGTGGGAGAAGGAGTGGTTACAGTGGGAGAAGGAGTGGTTACAGTGGGAGAAGGAGTGGTTACAGTGGGAGAAGGAGTGGTTACAGTGGGAGAAGGAGTGGTTACAGTGGGAGAAGGAGTGGTTACAGTGGGAGAAGGAGTGGTTACAGTGGGAGGAGTGGTTACAATGGGAGAAGGAGTGGTTACAGTGGGAGAAGGAGTGGTTACATTGGGAGGAGTGGTTACAGTGGGAGAAGGAGTGGTTACAGTGGGAGAAGGAGTGGTTACAGTGGGAGAAGGAGTGGTTACAGTGGGAGAAGGAGTGGTTACAGTGGGAGAAGGAGTGGTTACAGTGGGAGAAGGAGTGGTTACAGTGGGAGAAGGAGTGGTTACAGTGGGAGAAGGAGTGGTTACAGTGGGAGAAGGAGTGGTTACAGTGGGAGGAGTGGTTACAGTGGGAGAAGGAGTGGTTACAGTGGGAGAAGGAGTGGTTACAGTGGGAGGAGTGGTTACAGTGGGAGAAGGAGTGGTTACAGTGGGAGAAGGAGTGGTTACAGTGGGAGGAGTGGTTACAGTGGGAGAAGGAGTGGTTACAGTGGGAGAAGGAGTGGTTACAGTGGGAGAAGGAGTGGTTACAGTGGGAGAAGGAGTAATTACAGTGGGAGAAGGAGTGGTTACAGTGGGAGAAGGAGTGGTTACAGTGGGAGAAGGAGTGGTTACAGTGGGAGAAGGAGTGGTTACAGTGGGAGAAGGAGTGGTTACAGTGGGAGGAGTGGTTACAGTGGGAGAAGGAGTGGTTACAGTGGGAGAAGGAGTGGTTACAGTGGGAGAAGGAGTGGTTACAGTGGGAGGAGTGGTTACAGTGGGAGAAGGAGTGGTTACAGTGGGAGAAGGAGTGGTTACAGTGGGAGAAGGAGTGGTTACAGTGGGAGAAGGAGTGGTTACAGTGGGAGAAGGAGTGGTTACAGTGGGAGAAGGAGTGGTTACAGTGGGAGAAGGAGTGGTTACAGTGGGAGAAGGGAGTGGTTACAGTGGGAGAAGGAGGGATAAGGCGTGCAGGAAAGAGTGGACGATCACAGACACTGTGCGTCTAGCACAGCATTGTAAGCACGCACACGCGCGCGCATGCACACACAGAAGTGTGAATGCAGACACTGTGCGTTAAAATATATATATATATATATATATATATATATATAAATATATATATATATATATATACAAGTTGCAAAGCGAGGGGCTTGCAGCAGTGTGGTGGGCCTTACAGCACTTGGAGGCTGGTGAGCTGCCTCCACGAATCAGGGGGTTGGCCTTCAAAGTGGTTATCACCCAGGTCGCTGGTGGGGAGGACGAGAGAATGGGGTGGGGTGTAATGCTGATGGGTGAGTGAAAAAGGAAGACTGGAGGTGTGATTTTTGAGAATTCTCAAAAATCACTCTCATGGTGACTTGGCTCAAGTAATCAGACGGCTGGTCCTGATAGTGGTTATTGCCCAGGTCGCTTTGGGGAGGGAGAGAGAGAATGGGGAGATCATGGGTGAGTGAGAGACAGAGTGAAGGAGTGAACTAGTGGGTGAGAGAGTGAGTGTGGAAGAGGGACGACAGGTTGAGACGCAGAACTTTATGCAGGTGAACTTGTGTCGTCAACTAAAGTCAAACCACGTCAACCCACAGGGTCACAAGGTCGGTGAGCGCGCCAATTTCTTCGGGCAGCTGGCCAACAATTTGGTTCTGCCCGAGAACGAGTGCGGAGAGGCGAGAAAGAGCAGAAAGGCCCGAGGGGAGGGAACCAGTGATGCGATTCATGTCCAGATGGCTGCAAGCAGCAGGGGGACGGGGGTGTGACACGTGGGGGTAGCAGGTGGGGGTGAGAGGGCGGGGCGGAGGATAGAGGGCAGAGAGGCACAAGGGGAGCGACCCAGCGCTGCGGTTCATGTCGAGATGGGTGCAAGGGGGGAAGGGGAAAGGGGGGAGAAGGAAGGAAGTGGGCAGGCACATGGGGAAGAGAAGGGGGTGTACGATAGGTTTAGGTGAGGTGAGAACGAGCAGAGGGGCCCGAGGGGGGCGAACCGCTGATGCGATTCATGTCCAGATGGCTGCAGGGGGGTGGGGGTGGTGGAAGTGGGGGGACGAAGGGGGGGGATGTATGGGTTCTTGAAGAACACCTGCAACAAGGGGAGCGAAGCATTGAAGCGGTTCATTTCCAGATCCCTGCAGCAGAGAGGAGGCGGGCAGAGAGGAGGCGAGCAGAGAGAAGGCGAGCAGAGAGGGACTCAACAAACACTCGCAGGGACTCAATAATCTGAATCACATCTGCACGAATCTGAACTCACAGGGTCTCAAGGGCAGTCATGGCTGTGACATCTGTGGGCAGGGAGTCAATGCGGTTGAACGTCAGGTTCCTGCGTGCGTTCGTGAGGGAGGGTGAAGAAGGGCGGGGGTTGAGTTGAGAGGGGGGAGGGGAACCAGAGCGGGTGGGGGAAGGGGGGGTGCTTGACGGTGAGATTGTTGTGATCGAAAAGGGGGAGTGGGAGATGGAGAGAGGTGGAGCGGAGTTAAGAGGGTTGGAGAGGGCGAGCAGCAGAGGGGGATGTGGTGGGGTGAGGGCTGAAAGGAGCAGGGGGACATGAGTAACGAGGGAGGAAAAAGGTCAGTTAGGGCGGGAAATTGCAGCAGCAGGAGCAGCAGCAGCACGGCAGCAGCTTAAGTCAAACCCCACAGGCGTTTAAGCCAAGCCTTATAGAGGTGTTTATTTACTCAAGGCTTACATGCTTCTGTTAAAGCGCAGACTTACAGGTGTTTGAAGTTGGGAAGCAAGGCAGCAGCAGGGGAGACAGCAGCACCAGCCACCTCATTGCCACTCAAGTCCACCCGCTCCAATCGCTGCAGCGCCGTCATCCTCCCCCACGAAATTTCCCCCCCTCAGTGGCCCCGACATCCCCCCCTGTTGCTACAGTCACGCCTTACATGCTTCTGTTGAAGCCCAGCCCAGTGCTTACAGGTGTCTGAGGTTCGAAAACGAGGCAGCATCAGCAGGAGCAACAGCAGCACCAGCCACCTCATTGCCACTCAAGTCAATCCGCTCCAATCGCTGCAGCGCTGTCATTTTCCCCCACGGGATCTCCCCCCTCAGCGGCCCCACAACCCCCGCTGCTACAGCCGCCGCCACAGCCTGCTGACTGGCGCCCCGGGCAGTCAGCTGCTGCGCTACAGCCGCTGCTGTGGCTCCCCTGGCCCATGAGGCGTTGAGGGAGGCTAAAAAGGGGTTGGCCATGTCGCTGGTGGGGGGAGAGGGTGTGGGGAGAGGGTGTGGGGAGAAGGTGTGGGTGTTTGAGGAGGGCAGAGGGAGAGGAGAGAGGGGACAGGAGGGACGAGGAAAGGAGGGGAGAGGAGAGTGGGGAGGAGGAGAGGGAGGAAGAGGAGGAGGGAAGAACGGCATCCCCGAGACAGTGGTGGACGACGCTGCTGCAAATGATCACCTGTGGAGGAGCACCTTGAAATCCCAAAGGAGTAAGCAAGCAACGATGGTGGGGGTAGGAGAGAAGCAAGGAGAAGCAACGGGGTGAAGCCAAAACGCAGCAGCAGCATGTACCCTTGGCCCATGACACACTGCTGCTGCTGCCGCTCGCTTCGAACCACCCTACCGACTCAAACCACCCTACCGGAACCCACCACACATCGTCCCACTTCACCACAGCGCACTGCAGCGCACCCCACTTCACCGCAATGGACCCCACGGCAGAACCACTCACATGGCAATGATGCGGCCCGAGGAGTCGCACGTCACAAACTGCCATGTGTCAGCGCAGGGCTGCGACAGCTGACCCTGGCGGTTGGGCGAGGGGCCGTCCGACCACCTCCCCGCCAGGGAGAAGGCGGGGTGGTCCCCCAGGGCTTGCTGTAGCGCCAGCAGCGCGCTCGCTGGGGAGAAAAGGGTGCGGGGGCGGGCGGGGAGGGGGAGGAAGGGGGAGGAGATTGGGCGAGGGGCCGTCAGACCACCTCCCCGCCAGGGAGAAGGCGGGACGGTCCCCCAGGGCTTGCTGTAGCGCCAGCAGCGCGCTGGCTGGGGGGAGGAGGGGGGGGAGAGGGAGGTGGGGGGGAAGAAAGGGCGGGAGGGGAAGGGCGAGGGAGAGGACGGGGAAGGGAGAAGGAGAGGTGGAGAAGGGAGGGAAGGGGAGGGTCGAGGAGGGCTGGGGGGGGTGGGGGAGGGCGAGGGTGAGGCCTCCTTCACTCACTCTCGCCTCCTCGGCTCACTCTCAAGCTGAAACGATTTAAATCTTGCCTCCTCATCTCTCTCCTCCTCCACTCACTCTCCTCTCCTCCTCCACTCACTCTCCTCTCCTCCTCCACTCACTCTCGGCCGACATGATTTCGTCCGACGCGGCCGGCTCCTGCAGAACGCGACGACCCGAACCGCCATGTGCGGCGGCGGCAACGGAAAACGGCGACAGCAGCGTCGCAAGGAGCAGGAGGGCGCAGAACGGGACGAGACACGCCAGTGGCGGCGAGCGTGACGACAGGGATGACGTCATCGCGATTGTCGCAGGGACGGCCACGTGGACGAAGTTAATATGAGCGCTGCTAGTGATTGTGAGAGCGCAACGGCTACAACGCCCCGTGCCCTAGACCACTGCGCGAAACGAGAAGTTATTCAGAGGTCGCGCGGTGTGTTCTTAACCTCGTGTGAGTCCGCAGACGTCACAACGGCAGTTTGAGATACCGGCTACTTGGTAGACGCTCGGGACGGCTGGTACTGGCTAGTATGCGACTGGAAACGGGAGATTCGGTACCGGCTACGCGTATACAAAAAAGAGGGTGGATATTCGCTACGCGACAAGAAATCTGCTAACGGCTACGCGACTGGAACAACGAATCCGCCAACGTCTAGCGGAATGGAATGAGAAAAAAGCGAATGGTTACGGGACTGCAACGGATGTTTGCTAGCGTCCGAGGCTGAAAAGGGACCATGCGGAGTCGAATATGGAGGCAAAGAACAAGAGAAACTCTCGAGTATCGAGTATCAAGCAAGACTGTCAAGCAGGGAAACCCATTGAGGCTTTTGCTACCTGCTTTTGGATGCACATCATTGATGGAGTAGTGTGGGATGGGAGCGCAGCGGAGAGGCAGCCATGAATCTGGCAGTTCACGTGGTAGTTATCGGTGCGAGGGATTTTGTCGTGGCGCGTTGGCGCTGCTGCAGTAACGGCATCGAGAGAGGTCGGGGGAAGTTGTGGTTGGGGTTTGCGAAAGGGTTGAGGAAGTCGGTTGGCGAAAAGTTGACGGGTCTGCGTAGTTGGCGAAAGGTAGAGGTCTGTGGTTGGCGAAAGGATGGGTGGGTGGTTGGCGAAACGTTGAGTCGTGGTGTTTGCGAAGATGGGAGCGAACCGGCTGGGAAGCTTGCCGGTTGACTGAGGCAGTTGGTGGCGCTGGCAAATGGGAGGGAGGTGGTTGGCAGTTGGTTGACTGAGACCCTGTCCTCGCGTCTTCAATTCCTACTGTATAATTATAATTGTACAAGCCATACATATTTTAAATGCCACCCCACCCCACTTCCACCCTCGAGGCCACGTCATATTCCTTTGGGAGGGAAATACATGTACTCCCTTTTTTAGTTGAAACTGCGTTTTTATTAAGTTTTAAAGATCCAGGCCATTTCATCATGTCCAAGATCGAACTCACTGCTTGGGAAAAAACACGGAGGGAGGAGGGAGGAGGGAGGGGGGGGGGGGGGAGGGGTCAAATGTTGGCGGGGGGTGTCAGACCTTCGCGCCTACCCCGAAGATGACCACTCTTCGGGTGTTACTGCACGTAGCAGCACAGAGAGACTACGAGCTACACTCTCTTGACTTCTCCACTGCCTTCCTTCAGGGTAGCCTACACGAGGAGGTCTGGTTGCGTCGTCCTTCTGCCTTCACTGGCACGTTCCCTCCTGGGACCCAGTGGAAGCTCAGGCGGCCAGTCTACGGTCTCCGTCAGGCACCTTGTGAGTGGTACGACACTTTTCGCGCTACCATGTCTAACCTCGGTTTCCAGTTGTCTTCTGCTGACCCGTCGTTGTTCGTTCGTCATGGCTCCACACCGTTCTTTGTACTGGTCTACGTCGAAGACCTGGTTTTTGCCACTGCTTACAGGGTTTCTTTGGCTGAGATGAAGACCGAACTGCAGAAGAGACACAAGTGCACTGACCTTAATGAGCTGCGCCACTACCTATGCTTGCAGATCATCAGGGACAGAGTCGTTCACACCATTACACTCTCACAGTCACACATGGTGCAGCAGTTCTTTCAGCGGTTCGGGCTTCAGCACTCCACCACACAGCCCACTCCTCTTTCCGTAGACCACTGACTCACCGGCCCTTTTTCTTACGAGCCCTTCGAGCCTAGTGGTCCGTACGCAGAGCTTGTGAGCTTCGTACCTTGATTTGACGCCGCCTGTGGAGGAGTTTCGATAAGATCTCCTGCTTGCCATCAGAATCAGCTGCAACCCATGTCGCAATGCTGAAACCTTCCAGTCCGCTCTTGAGCGCACCCAAGCTCATTGTAGCACTCACACCTGTGCGGGCGAGCTTTCCAACTTTGATAGAAAATGGAAAATGAAAAACCAGTTGAGTGTGATAAGATCATAGTATTAGAAAACAAAGAGCATCAAAAGCAATTGCTTATCGAGCACGAGATATTACATTATCACAAGACAATGAACGCGGATACATGCATTACTAAAAACAACATTTACAACAAAAACGATAGTAACAAAGAAAAAACACCAGTACCTGTCGTCGTGTCGAAAACCGCAACAACTGTATCTCGCGCGTCCGCATCCTGTGTCACATGCTCCAAGTCGCAGAGGTACCCGTCGTTGGTGAAACACCATCCGACGGGAAAACCGCAAGGGAGGGCACCTTCTCTCGACGGCCTAAATGAACAGACCCACTCTGTAGTGACGTCCGTGCTGCGTATCTCCACGCGGAGTGCACATGTGATCTCTTGGCCCAAAGAGATCACATTCTCCCCCACGGCTCCCAAACTGGAAGGGAGTGGGGTAAAAGAAAGTGAACAAGCGTACATATTAATGATATTTATACTGCATTTGTTGATCGGAATTGACAATATCTTTACACTAGACTAAGATGCAATGCAAACTTGATAGTAATTTATAACTTGCAATACTTACGAAATGACGCTGCCGACGTCGGTTGGTGCGGTGAGAACAGGATCCAGACTCCGCGTGACGCGAGCAACAACAGCATCATCAGTGACCTTGATAATCCTCGACCTGGCAGGAAAGAATACAATATACAAATTTGAAAGATAGTTGGGACTATATAGATCATGTACCTTAACGTGTATCAACAACACCTATATTCAAGTACAAACACTTGACTAATCAATAAGCACACTGTAAGACCGCTTGTACTATACCTCTTGGTTATGTAAATCTGGGGATGCTCGACGTAGAGCTCAGTGATCCACAAGACCACTGGAGTCGATGTGAACGAAGTCCTGGTCACCTTTTGCTGCTCTGTCACAAACATGCGATTTTTGTCCGCAGATGAGCCTAACGCCGTCAAACCGAAGCGTCCGCTCTCATCATGAACCGAACAAAGAGCGCGCAGCAAGAAACCAGGCTCCATCTTGGAGACCGTCAGCTCCACAATGAAGGATGAAACCTGTAAGTAATAAATACCAAAACAATGTATACAATACGTTATTACTGTATGAATATGAACGTTGATGATAAACATACAAATGAGTGATAAAACAAAATGCGACATAAGACTACACATCTGGATTCAATTTGACCTCATATTATAGAACAAAAGTATGAGCTATATTAAGTATAATGTCATGACACGACGTGCACACAAACCTGGCGACGTGTGGACGGATCGGACGAGAACAAAAGTGCATCCAGCCGCGTAGGAGTGAACACACTCAACGGAATGCTGTCCGCCTCAGCTGTCATGCGGGCATGCGATGCACGGTGCTCCCAATTGAGCACGCCATCCAATTTGCCAGCAGAGTACCTGACAAGAAATGTTGAGATGACATGCGATATGATCAAAAGGAGACAAATCAAAAAAACCTGTGATAATGGTTCGAATAACTTATTATAAGTTCATACTACCAACCCTATGCTCCCTCGAAATTCATGCTGTTGAGAACTCCATGTTGAAAAAAGCACCGTTTTGCAAGCATCTTCGTAACAAAAGAAACTACACATTAGCGTTGGCAGACGTGCACGTCCCGTCAAGCTCATAATCAGTTGTGCACTCAAACGGGTATCACGAGCATTTGCAATTGGTGGATAGTGAGTCCTTTGCGCTAGTTGCACAAACCCTCAATGTTGGTACAAAGTTCAAATGGTGCTTGCATAGGCCAACATGTTTGTGTCATACGCCGCTTTTGCATGACACAAACAGTAGTTATAACAGTGGCCACAACACAAGCTGAAATACGTCCTAAATATCAGAAACCTGCAGACTATACTGTAGCGAAGCAGCCTCGTGCTGCTGATAAGCGTATGTAACTGTTAGATTGATTTTATAGCAAGTTACACTTTATGGTCAGCCTCATATTACTACTGACCGCGTAAGTCATATCAAGACACTACACAACGAGTTTGTACAGTATACTTGAACCAAATTGAATGGGGAGACGTAAAAACGAATGTTCTTAGGAAACAATATGATCAAGTTTTAAAAGCTTCCATATGTTTTAAAGGCTCACCCTGGTTTCTTGGAGTAAACGCAGTGGACGGAGCAGATATCGTATGTGGCTCCCAAAACGAACTCCCCAAGTGTCTTGCAGCACTTGTCAATCGTCCATGCCGTCGGTGGCGGCTGCGACTCAGACCAAAACAGCAGCTCCATCTTATTCCCTTCTACATCCGCCACGTACAACTTTGCAGGGAATTCGGCCGCATTTGGCTGATCAAGGTCTTGGGGCCGAACCCCAACAACCATTGCACGAACCATGAAGTTCAAAGGCTTTTGGGGTTTGAGCAAAACCTTCACTAGCGAGCTGAAGCTAGCAACCTTCGGCGGCTGTTCATTCATTACATCAAAACAAAGTTTTAAATGGAGAAGTGGAAACATGAGGAATTGAAATGATTAGTCATATAGAGCGATGCACAGAGAGAGGGAGGAAGAGAGAGAAAGAGAGACAGAGAGAGAGAGAGAGAGAGTGAGAGAGAGAGAGAGAGAGAGAGAGAGAGAGAGAGAGAGAGAGAGAGAGAGAGGGAGAGAGGGGGGGTGGGGAGAGAGAGGGGAGAGGCAAGTATGAAAAGATAATTGTGAGAAAATGTAGATGTTTACAAGATATGCATTGCATAGAATGTATGTTGCAAAGTGTGTGAGAATAAAAGTACGTATAAAACACAACATGAAAACATAGCATATCAATCTAAAAAGATAGTGACACAATACAAAACACAGCTTAAAGCGCTCTTACCTTCGCAAGTGTCTTCTCATTGTATGGAAGGCCACCTGTATGGAAAAGAATAATAGACATTTGTTTTGTATTTGATCAATACA